GCCCGAGGCGCAGCGAGGCGCGAATGTACATCCTGTTAGCCCGATACAGTAACCAAAGCTAGTTTGATATGCTCTCTGCGCCTCAGGCGTCGTAGCTACAGGACATCAAAGCAGGAAAACGGCACATCTGTCTGAAGACAGAGTGGGTTATCTGAAGACAAAGATGCTGTCTTCAGACAGAATATTGCCTTCAGACAGCACTTTCTGTCTTCAGACGGGACTCTTTGTCTTCAGACAGAGTGCACTGTCTTCAGACAGAACGCGCTGTCTTCAGACAATCCGGTTGTCTTCAGACAAGGGGATTTGTCTTTAGACAGTGGATTTCGTCTTAAGACAGCCCATTTTGTCTTCAGACAGAGCACCTTGTCTTCAGACAGAAGCTTCTGTCTTCAGACAGCGTAACTGTCTGAAGACAAACCGAATTGTCTTTGGCGGACTGGCGGATTGGCGGAATCCGCCACGGCACGTGATCCCCGCGCCGCGCCCATTCACAACTTGCTGAGCAACGCTTTGTCTGTCCCGCCGCGTAAAAGCTGATTGATTCGTGAGGACAGACGTGTACCGGATAAGCTAATGCGGTGGCCGGAAGGTTCGAAAGTCTGCTTGGACGAGGGCGTGTACGACCACCATTGGGACGCACATACAAAATCGGCATAACACCGAGGGATGGCTTCTTAACCCCGGGCGGGCGGGAGCGGTGCCGAGAGGCGCATACGGGGAGGTGAGGCCTACAGGACGGCGAGGAGGTCCCGGAAGCGCATGCATGTACAAGAATCCAAATTCTATACAGCCAGGATTGCAAGGTCTGGAGCAAATCTGAAGTCGTCGTGGGGAGGAGCAACATGACAAAGTGATCGTGCCCCTTCCCCGGAAGAGCGGCCCGAATACACGGAAGCGTCACTTGAGTTGCGGACCCACAGTTCGCACTTGCTCTGCACTCCGACTGCGACACTCACCACTTTGCGCGGGCGGTGTAGAGGCTCCTACTAAAACTACTGCCCGAAATATCCTGACTATTACCCGAGCTGTCCTCGTGTAAACCCGACTTGCGCGTCCCTCTAGAGCGCCGAACCTGAAAGAGACTGCGCCACACTGTCAAAACCTACTTGATACCAAACTCGGTCCACTGAACGAACTCTGGGCCCTATTCTTTCTGCTCTACTCACACGCCCTCGCTCTACGTCAATATGTCGCACGTCGTCACACCACTGGACCAGCCATCCAACTACAAAGACTCCCAAAACCGCATGGACCGCCAGCGGCAAAACGAGCTGCTTTCCAAATCTTGTACTCTATACGTACGTGCCCTGCGTCTGAATCATTGTTGAGATGGCGCTCACACGCGCCTCATACAGATAGGAAACTTGAGCTTTTACACGACAGAGGAGCAGATTTACGATATGTTCTCGAAGTGCGCGAGCCCAGAAGACGGAGGAGGCGTGAAGCGTATTATCATGGGACTGGACAGGAATACGAGGTATGTCATATACGCCCTGCCACTTGGAGTGTATCTCATATGCGAGCCATCCAGGACACCATGTGGCTTCTGCTTTGTCGAGTTCTACACAAACGGGGAAGCTCTCGCCGCTCTCCGCTACGTCTCGGGCACAAAGCTCGACGAACGTATCATTCGTTGCGACTTGGACCTTGGCTACCGCGAAGGGCGACAATTCGGCCGTGGCAAGTCTGGCGGCCAAGTGCGCGACGAACACCGCGCGGACTACGACCCTGGACGCGGTGGCTGGGGTGCACAGGCGCAGAGGGCAGAGATTGAACGGAGGAGGGAGGTTGAGGAGAGGTATCAGGATGTTGCACCTGGGAGTAAGGCCGCTGGTGGTGGCGAAGACTGGGCACAGAAGAATGTCCAGGCCAGTGTGGACGAGAGTCCGTCGAAGAAGAGGGGGAGGAGTCCGGATGATGATGGGGATAATGAGGCTGCAAAACAGGTATGTTGTCTCTTCATGGTCGTTGGAGAGTGATTCTCATCGTCTACTGCAGCGCCAACGACTTGACGGGGAGGAGCGTATGTGACGCTACTGTACTTTTCTTTCCGCTCTGCTCCATTATCTTGTTCATGCTGTGAATATCACTGTTCTTGTTCGTAGACTGGTTTGCACGTATGGGATATTCTGGGTATATAATATGGAGGTAACTATACTATGATTCTGGCTTGTAGGAGATGCCGGTAGTGATAAGTCATGTGCAACTCCTGCACGAGCCTGTGCGCCTCGGCATCCGTAGAACAGTTGACCATGTATCGGTTTGACAGGGCGTGCGTTGGACTATGAGATTCTCGCTCAGTCCATCATACCCTTGATCTATACGGCAGCGTGCTCACCTGTGGACCTTCCACAGTCTAGTGGACGACTGCTTGCGATGTTGTTCGCGATCCACCGTAAATCCTCGCGATTCCAAGATAGTTCGTACTGCCGAGGTATCCGTCCCGGTGGGCAAACCCAGGATGCAAACGCTGCGGCCGACATGTTTTATCCCAGCTTGCAAGCCATTGCCTGCCAACAACTCGGGTTGACGATCGTCTCCGCTTGACACATCAGCTTGTTTCACTGGCTCGGGCGTGGGTTCGGCGACAAGGGTGTGCCCGTATAGTTGAAGCCGGCGCTGCAATTGAGCCAGAACATCATGATAGTGCTCTGCGCCTGAGAGTGTCAGTATGGCAGTGCCTTTCGGGTAGAAGTTATAGTATTCGAGTTGTACTGGAATACGTAGAGCGTGAGCGGGTTAGTATCGTGAGAGATGATATGTAGTAGCACTGTACCATTCCGGACGTTCCCTATACTATGACGCTGCAATAGCCTGCGGACGTCGCCAGGAGTCGTTGTCCTGGGAAGTCCATGTAGGGCGATATGGCGCCGTGAAAGCGCGGAGGCCACAGTCTGTCTGATGGAGTCGAGCGTGATTTCTGAAGCAAGCGTCTTCTCTACACATTTATGAGCATACGGATGGATCGTTTTATGATGTTTCAGCTTTATGTACTTGTCAAAGAGAGGGGGCTGGTCATGCTCGTATTCGGCAAGCGACAATGCAGACGCGTCGAAACACCGAGTTTCGCGATCACGCGTCCGGAACGCGTCTTGCCTCCAGCCCACCACCACCATGTCCTCGCGGCACGACTCGCGCAGACGCGACCGCAGCTGGGAACGCGACGAGAGGAGTAGAGACTACGACCGGGACCGGTACTCTTCAAGAAGGAGAAGGGACAGTCGGTCCAGGAGTCCACCAAGGCGTGGTGGCGATAGGCCTCGACCTCGTACGCCTTATTCAACTATGTATAATCACGATATATACTAACATACGGACAGCGGACCCACGGGATGGTAGGAGGGATGACAAAAGGGATTATGGACGCGACAGGGACGACGACCGGAGGGACAGGGACAGACGCGGTGGATCAGGCAGGGATCACGACCGTGACCGGCTTGACTATGGTCGTGAGCGAGAGAGGGACGACAGGAGAGATGACCGACGCGACCCTGGACGTCGACCTCTAGACCGGGAGTCTGAGAGGGACCGGTTCAGGCAGACGGACGCGGGGAGTGCTCAAAGGACACCAGAACCTTCAGGCAGCATGGGTGGGAAGGGACATTTCGGTATGTATATACTTGCATAGGCTCTCTGGGTATGGTATACTTATGCTGCGTATCTGTAAGAACGACCCGAAGGAACTTCGTTACAGCCGTCTGAGGATGGCGAAGAAGGCGAAGCTATGGACGCCGTTGACGACGATGAGGCCGCTATGATGGCAATGATGGGCATGTCCGGGTTTGGCACGACTAAGGTGGGTGTTCTCCACGCGGTTTGTTGCCACCTTTCTCATTAGCGCCTGTTGTAGGGCAAACATGTCTCGGGCAATCAAGAAGGCGCCGTGAACATTAAGAAGCAACGGACATGGCGTCAGTACATGAATCGGTATGTGGCAGTCGTCCCGCCCCCGATAACTCTGACTAATGCCTCTCTACAGTCGTGGTGGCTTCAATCGTCCTCTCGACAAGATCAAGTAGGGTCCATCATCACTAGCTATTCTATCATACCTTCTGTTTGTAAGTTGAGAACATAATCTAATATCATATGCATCGCTTATCACGACCCTACGAAAGCCTCGCCTACCTTGATCCTGAGAAACACGACAAAATCACTGTGGTCGCAACGCGCATGATATCCTCAGCTGGTGTAGACCTGCTATCGATTGCGCAAGAACATGCAGGCGCTACAGCCCTCTGTATACGCGATGTTCCCAGGACCTGACATGGCTTGTGGCGTTCACGACGCGCGGCGCAGCACGCCGTCGCTGCATGTCTGCTCTTGACCACCATCTTGCAGATCCTTTCGGCGCCCACTGATGGCGCGCACCCATCATATTACTCGCAAGAAAGCCGCAAGCAAAAAGAAGTGTATGTCCACGCATCTGCGATCACTATCTAAACCGTCAGTGGCGCGTCTTCAACTGCCCCCCAGCTTTCAAGGTCATATCTAAGCACTTCAGCAAGGTTGACGGCATGGACAAGCTGCGACTGCAACTTACATCCGCTGGCGCTAGGATAGTCAAGACTCTTCGCCAGGTTAGCTCCCACGGGCCGTTGTGGTGGCGTATCATTCATGCTTACCGTTTTCAATCTTCCGCATACTGCAGGGCTTCATGGTCGAGATGACTGGCGAGCAAAGAGACCACCTCAACACCAGTTCCATGGGTATCCACATCAGTCAGTTTATGGTATCATCTCACTTCAGCGTGCAACCCTGACTGACGGAATTATTTAGCTGAATTGCATGTTCAAGGGGACTCAAGTTCTGACCTCACGACATCGTCCAGTTCTTGAGCGTATTCTTGGAACTCTATAGGCGTCACATCTTCGTAGTATTCGAGGATACCCGTTAGTATGAACATGAGGAAGGCTTCTTCCAAACACCATCAACTCCACATTGAACTTCTACCAAGTCCGCGGTTGCCGGTATTATGTTCTTTATCCAGTCTTGGTCCGCTTTCACTATGCAGAAGTTCAATGCGGTTCGCCGCGGAACCATCGATCCGTGTCGATGGTGCGCACTCTCGAGGCGTGTAGCCTAGCCTTGTCGATGTTCCCTCGATGTTCCTGGAAGAAACAACCCGTAAGGAACACCGCATCTGATTGGGGTTTCTTCTTCGAAGAGCCGTCGCGCATCTAGATCGATACCATGTCGTTTGCCACAGTTATCGTGGTGGGCGCGTGGCATGCACTGGTCGTCTGTGCAGGCGCTCAACGCTAGCAGGGGTATTTAAGCTCGAGCAACAGCGCCCTTGGATCCTCACTGGATCATTTGCATCTCTTCCCTTCTCCACCACTAACTACGCGTTTACTTGAAGCTATGGGCGGCGCGATTGTATCTGTACGAGCGCGAGCGGCTCAAATGACCAAGAGTGTGTCTTCTATCCGAGTATCTCTGGGGTGATCACGCTCATGGTGCCAACGCAGCATATGTGGCCACCTCAAAACAATGCGCAAAGGCTGAAGGCAAGGAGAAGCTGCGGGGCCAGCTCGAGGACGCCGGCGCCACAGTGACACGGACTCTACATGATGTAGGTGCGCTACTTGGTCAACGTTCCTCAGCGCTAACTGTCCCTGTTACAGGGCTTCGAGGTGAAGATGACTCGCGTACAGCGCTCGTTCTTCATGCGAGACCACCCTGATACGCATCTTGGTGAGTAGTCTGTGCCGGTGTTACACGCAAGGAAGCTTATCTCCGTGTACAGCTGATATAGCCGTGGAGGAATGGAGGAGCGCTGTTGGACGATGAGGAACGATACTGGACAATGACTCGATAATACCAATATCACCGAAGCCCTATTTGATCGGTAATCATGATTGGCTTCTTGATAGCATGGCCGACAACCTGTTACATATCACAGCTGCAACTCTTGTTCATCGACTGGCTCACAGTGATACTACATTGCATGTTCCTATCTATCCGGGCTTCGCGAGGTAAGTACAACAAAGGTGAGGTTCATCCCTGGACTGTGCAAGGGCCGGATTGCAGTGCACGTGCTGTGCTCGTGGTGACCGGCTTTGATCATTACATAATGTCATGGTGCGCGGCTTGCTTCTGAACCACCATCATACGCGTCAGCGCGACGCAGGGGTATGGGACGTACTCTGTATGAGAACCAGAAACGTGTAGAGCAAAAGAAGAAAGGTGCGCATCTACGGTGTGTTTGCGGTTTGTATAAGATATCTGATGCGATTATTTACTCTAGTCTACGACGTCATATCCAAACATGGCGCCAAGGCAGATGGGAAAGTGAAGCTGCGCAACCAGCTCATCGCTGCAGGGGCTGTTGTAGGCATGCCTATCCGTAAGGTCAGTCACCAACTCAATGTATGCGGTAAGAACGTTCAGAACCGATGTGTAGGGCTACCGTGTCGAGATGACGGGCGTTCAGCGAGAGCAATTTGGTAAAGATCACTCAGACGTGCACTTCGGTACGCACTCTTTGCCCGTAAACATGACTCTATGACTGATGACCGGTTGAATAGCTGAGATCCAAGTACAAGACGATTCAAGCTCTGACCAAACGTCAAGTTCTGCTTCTACGTGACCTGCGGCTCTTTGACGAGCACGAAGCCCGGCTCAATGGAACGTTGCTGCACGGCGGATCACGACTCTATTCGGTCTTCGGCCGCTGCACGAGACTGATGTCTGGCTATATAGGCCCGATCGTTAGTGTCGTGGCATTGTTGTACACAGGTCTTGTTGAACGATGACCATAACGACCCTTGCACAGCCTCCCGTCGATCTTGTTTGGATTGTTTGTCTATCTGTCGTCTTAAGCGCTCAAAACTCCGTCGAGGACGACAAGCTACGACGCGCCTGCTGTCAGATACCGAATGGGGGACACGATGTGCAGAACTGGGCGTTCGCCGAGCCTGGTGAACACTGATCACATCATCAACTACCCCGCCCCGCATCCTTGCTACAGAATTAGCCTTTCTCAGGCCCCACCCAGACCTCCTGTGGCTGTGATGGCGCATCACAGACGGCACGTTCAGGTTCAACCGTCTTCCCCGCCTATCATGAATCACTGACATCAGATCCCACTCGACGAAGCTGTATTGACCAGCTATATACCCGACGGCAGACAGGGCTCGATGGGCTTTTCTCCTACTCCCCGCAGCCACCCCCATTATACGCTCACCGCTCGTTTTGTGCGAGCCCGCCGCAAACGGGCCATACGGCTGGCATCACTAACTTATAATCAACGATCAACTCGAGTCTACTCTCGTCCTGGCGGCGGCGCAGTAGATGGACGGCTCTACAGCAACCACTATCCCTCCGGAATTGTACGATGAAGTGGTGCGCGGTCTCAAGGACGCGCAAGGTATACGGTATATCAGTGGTACGTACTGCGCCTGCAGTATCTTCAGAGTACGTTTCTGACGGACGATTGTCACAGCCATCGGTCTGGTAGCGCTTTTGTGTGATCACATCCAAACGTTCCCCGAGGAGATCAGGCTGGTGTGGCGAGCGCCGGCTTCGTTGGCGAAGTTCTTGTTTCTCGCAAACCGGTATCTGGTAGCGGGAAGCATCATCGCTGCAACGCATTGTGCGTATCATTTTGTCGTGATTGCCGAATATGAAAACTGAATATGTACGAAATAGCGTTTGCTGGGTTCAATGGTGCCGTATACACAGACCGGGTATGTATGCTTTATCCTGAGAGCGTTTTACGAAATACTGACCATGTGTTCCAGGGGTGCGTCGCGATGATTGACTTCACTGAATTGCCCAATTGAGTATTGCGTTAGATGTGCCATCTTGCTCTCATACGTCGCATCCGCGAGTGTGATCTCGTTGGGCATCGCGAACGTGCTTGTTCTGACACGAGTACTGCTGTTGTGGGATAAGAATCGGGTAAGCCATGCGAGACGCGATGATAGGCGCACAGCTCATACTACTTTCAGACAGTTCTGATCATCCTCGGCTCTGCATACCTGATTGGGTATATGTTGACCGTCGGCTTCCTGATAGCATCTATCGTCATCCTTGAACGTGAGCCACCTTCTCGTTTTGGCGTGAATATTTACTGTACTGACCTTGTGAGTTCAGCTGGTATTCAGTGGTCACCACTCGCCCATGCATGCTCGCCGACCACGAAAACCCCGTTCTTCACTGCCGTCTGGGCCGGACCGGTGAGTGTCTTTCGTTTCTTCCGGGGACAGCGAACTGAGATTGGCCCCAGTTCCTGTTCGAGCTGACCGTATTGAGTCTAACGGTATTCAATGCGATCGCTCGACCACGCTCTGAGAACATGGGGCTCACGAACACGCTGCATCAAGACGGGATCTCATTCTTCATCGTTATTACGTGCTTTCGCATCGTCAACATAGTCTTCACAGCAAGTCCATACCCCAACCGGGTGAACTACGCCGGATTGTAAGCCTTTCTTCCACTAACGCATCCTGACTATGCTCACGGTCTACACAGTTTTGTATGGGCAATGGTCACTGTTATCCTCAACCGCTTGCTCCTCCACATCCGCTCCTCCGAGATCAGGATAGCAGCGGATGACAAGCGCATCGCGGCCGAACTTGACGCCGCACGGCGTCACGTTGATGAGTCGAGCGACGACGAGGGTGAGGGTGACGCAGAAGAACCGCGTTCGCCCGATGCCATCAGATTGAACGGACGCGCTTCACCCTTTGGGCTACCTTTGCCTGCTCACCACCCCCGCGGACGAATGTCAAGTCACGACGCAGATGTTCTACCTACCACTTTTGTCGAGATGCATAGCTTCTATCGATGACCTCACAGGCTGCCCGCTGGACGGGCATACACCCCAGACACTTCCCACTCTTTGCATACACTACCTCAGCCACTACTGTATATACCCCGCATGCCACTCATTACTATTATTGCTGTTGTACTTCCGATGTTGCCACCTTGCCCTAGCTCTCGCATTGCTCTCGTATTCAGATGAATTTGGTTCAACTAGCCATAACCCGATGTGTGCACCTCCCAAACCATGAAGCTCTGTCCGAAGCTGTGCTTGCACCCTCCGAGAGCGGTAATGCACAAGACACCCACTGTGTCACTATGATATAGTCGCACCAGGATAAGAGATATAAAATATGCATCAGGTCTACATAGCTATACGAGTACTTCAAATCAGTCCACGGCCTCAGGCCAAATCCACCTAATCCAACTCCCAGAAAGCCACATTACATCCTCACAACTCCCTATAGATCATGAATATCTTCGTAGATATTCCACGTCTGCAAAAAAAAGCCCAATCAGCTCTCCATCTAGGCAACACAAAACCAGATGCAGCCAAAACGCACCTTTCGCCAGGCCATACCCCAATGATTCCTTATCGGACCGTCCATACCCCACGCCATACCGCGGAACCACCAGAAGTTCGCGACGATGGCCAGCGTGACGACGCCAAAGACGATGTTCTTCGTGCGGTCGCGTATGCGTTTGGGTCGGAAGACGAAGTGGTCGAGGAGGTGGCCGGCCATGAGGACTGCGAAGTATAGCGTAGGGAGGTAATGGTGGACGTATGTCACACGGCCCATGATCATGAACGGCGCTGCATCCCGTTCGATCAGTATCGTCGACGACTGTATGAGGGGAGGAGAAAGGCATACCGTAGTGTAAGAACCATCCAAAGAAAGCGATCTTGCCCGCATACAAAAACTGATCCCACTCCGCCGGCTCCATATCCACATACCGCCTCTGCATCCTCATCAAATACACAACAAACGCCACCAACCCCACCACAAGGGCCACCGTACTCCCCCACCAAATAACCGGCGTCCCAAGCAAATAATACTTGGTATTATTATCGCCCCACCCGCACATCCGCAGCCCGACCCTCATCAAGGGCCAATCCGTCGGCTTGGACGCGAGAATGTCTTCCTTGTCCGGGTCCGGGATGAGCGCGTTGTTGCTCGTCATCATCGCGACGTTCAGATGCCAGAAGTCGCGCAGGAACGGCGAGCGGTAGTGCTTGGCGTTCGCGGCGGGGAGCCGGTCGTTCCAGTGGGACTCGACGTTCCAGATCGAGTACGAGTCGGACGGGTTGTTGTTCTTGTCGCAGGAGACTTCGATCTGCTTGAAGCCCCATTCGGGGAGGCCTTTGGTTGCGGCTTTGAGGTAGCAGCCGGTGGCTTGGTGTTTGAAGCGGAGACGCGTGGTGAGGCTGTGGATGTGTTCGCCTTGGACGTGGGCGCCGCGCTTGATGTCGTCCAAGACTTCGACGGCCCACAGGTCGTTGTAGTCTCCAATCGTCGCGTTACCGTAACCAGACACCTCGTTGTTGAGTTTGCTCAGAGGCGCGGGAACATTGTGCGAGTGGAGGTTGCGGCCGGTAGCGGGGTGCACGAGTCGAATGACATCTCCGTGCTCGAGGTATCGGATAGGGCCGTTGAGATCCACATCACCCTCGTCCCATCGCGGCGTGATGACCCACTCGTTGTTGACATCCTTATAGTGGTAGCACGTTACTTGCTGCTGGTTACTGCCCACGGGGTACGTTTGAACGTGCGAGTGCAGAAGACCGCCTCCCCAACCCATGTTCTTGATCGTAAGTCGCGAGCCGAACGCGATCTCGAGCGGATTGTTGCCGAAGTCGTTGCCGATGAGGTTGGCTTGGAAGAGCGAGGACATCTGAGCATCGCCGGGTCCGGAGTGAGAGAGGACCATGAAGTGAGCTTTGAAGGAGGCCATGTAGACGAGGATTGGGAGAACGATCAGGCAGCCGACGCGTGCCCCCCAGTGCCACAATTGTGTGCGCTACAGGGGTACCCTTAGCATATACATGCGGAACTGTGTTTGGGATTTCACTTACGACGGACATGCGCAGGTCGCCGAACTTCTCCCAGAGATCCTCGATTGTGTACAGGCCGACTAACGCCGTCACGAACAAGCCCACAAGTTTCACACTGCCAGCATAGTGTGAGCAGCCGCGCAGAACGCATACAGTAAAGACCACATACCTTGACACGCAGCCGATAGAGAAACCAGTGAATCCAAGCCAGAACCACCAGTCAAAGCCGAACGGTCTATGTATAGATGCGCGTAAGGGTCGTACAAACCATCAGATATAAAGACGTAGCGTACCGATACTGTTGGTTGTGGAATTTTGTCAAGCCAAAGACCGTAGTGAGGGTGAAGAAGAGCAGCATAGAGTCGAGCAGAATAAAGCGCGATATACACAACCAAGCCACATCTAAGCGCCACATCAGTCTCAGATGCAACAGGCCGGGCAAGTCAGGCCGAACGCACCGAACAGGACCATCAACGCAACAGCATGACACGCTCTCCAGCTCAAGCCGAGCTCGACGCTGGTATACCACGCCAGCGGGACCATCAACACGCCGAACGTGGCCATGAGCACTCGCATAGCGACATATGGCACCTCCTCCGGGTACCGCTCTCCGCTCTTGAACTCAAAGTGCCCGTTGTATCCTGACAACAGCCCAGCGAGGCCGACGAGCATCTTGCCGAGGGGAGGGTGCACGTCGAAGTAGAATTCGCGCTTGAGGTAGTGGCTGCCGAACTTGCCGAAATGGGCCTCGTCCCAGACGACGTAGTCGGCTTTGCCGATCTTGTGGAAGCGCGTCCAGCACGAGAGGAGGGTGTAGATCACCGGCGGGATGTGTTCCCAGTTTTGCGCGACGAGCTCTTGCTGTATCCCAAGCATCAATATATAGCAACAACTGTATACTAGAGTTGATGCACACCAAGTTCTGCGCTGGCGGGGGCGGGCCACGCGAGGGTACGCGGCCGCCACCGATGAAGCGGGGCGGGTGCACGCCGGGTTTAGCGTGCAGACCCTTGCCGCTGTCGTCGTCGTCCTGAGTGCGCCACTGGCCGTCGTCGTCATTGTGCGCGCCGGGCGCACGTGTGACGCGACGGCGGGCGGCAGTGTCTTCTGTGTTCATATAATGAAGCGGGAGCTCGGCCTGCTGCTGGCGCCAGTCGTCTGCCGGGCCACGCGGAGGGGGCGGATATTCGACTTTTTCGAACGAGGAGGAGGACGTCGGGGACGAGGGCCGCGAGTCGTCAAAGTGGATGATCGTGTCAGAAGGACGCTGCATCCAACTCTGGAGCCTCGCACTCAATTCGACGCGAGTTTGTCCGCAAGGCGGATGTCGGTTTATTGGCTAAAGGAGCGTGAAGATGGAGGGTCGGTCTCAAGAGACACGTAGCCACATCGAAACATCTACATCACTCCCGTCTGGATTCGGTCCGCAGCAGACTCTGCATATCCCCGATTTGCTTCCGCCCTTTTTCTCTCGGAGAACCAGGCAAAATGAGATAGCACAAGGGTAGAAATACAACTAAACACTAAAGTACGTAGCAACAAGAAGAAATCACACAAACACAGCAGTCTAGTCGTACCGCTTGTACATCGCGGTGACCATAGCGTGGTCACGCTCGTATGGCTCGAGCGTGATCTGCTCCAGGGGCTTGAAGTGCTCGTCTCGCAACTTCTGGACCTCGCCCTGGAAGACAACGTTCGCGGGCATAGTCGAGTCGATACAGTTCGCCTTGATCGAGATCACGGCGTGGCCACCAACTTTCAAGAAGTTGTGTGCGTTCAGGGCAACGATACGCGCCTGATCCGGCTGTGCGACGTCAGCGAAAATCACGTCGACGGTCGAGAGCAGCATGCGGTATTTTTGAGGTAGGCGCGCGTCTTCAATGATGGCTGCAACGCTTGTGAGTACGGTGAAGTGAAATGTTTACAGGAATAGACATACGAATGACGTTTGTGCGCTTTTTTGCCATGTTAATCAGGTCGCGACCTGATCGAGGTGAGAACTCGACGGCGTAGACGGTGCCCTCCTGTAAAAAGGATTAAGATGTGATACAAAGTCTTTGGAGGACTTTCTTACAGGGCCAACAATGTCAGCGACATGACTGACACTAGTACCGCTTGCAGCACCAAGGTAAAGGACCTTCTTGCCAGGGCCAATGAAGACGTTCTCCATACCGCCAAGCACACCAGCCGCAAGCTTCGAGCGGAAAGGATTCCAGACACGGTACTCGACCTTTGTGCCCTCCTCCTGACCGTCGACCGAGATGCGCTTCTCGCCGTAGACAGACTCGCCGGGGGCGATGTTCTTGGTGACGAGCAAAGACTCCTTGCCCTTTGCGATGAAAATGCCGGCGTGCTTGTGCGGCTCGAGGATGACGTTCGAGCCACCCTTGGCGCCGAACTTGCCGCCACGGGCGCCTCCCCGTCCACCGCGACCGCGAGGTGCTCCACGGCCTCCTCCGCCCCGTCCGCGAGATTGGACCCCTCCGCCGCGCACACCGCCGCCTGATTTGAATATCAATATTTTTGCACTGTCTTTGATAGATAAACGTACCCCGCCCACCAAATCCGCCACGACCTCCTCCGCGACCGCCACGGTCACCGCCGCCGAAGCCTCCTCGTCCTCCGCCACGACCGCCGCCGCGCCCTCCACCGCGTCCACCACCAAACCCGCCGCGTCCTCCTGAATCACCTATACATGCAATCAGCGACTGAGCTTATAGAGTCGTATACAATATATGTGTACCAAAAGCCATTATGAGAGATGCAGCTGGGAGTGTAGGAACAAGTGAAGAGGCGCGTGCACGCGTTCCGACCAAAGTCAAATTCCAAAGCTCGCAAAATTATAATGGGCCGTGCGACTCTCATCAGCTTACATACTCCATCACTTGTACCCCTCTTCGTGAGAGAGCGGGCGGCCCGAGCCTCCCGAATCGACGCCGCCCATTTGCTCCTTTTGGTCACTGGGTATCGCTACGCGCAACAGAGTTGTACCGTTTCTACACGTACGAGTACCTTCAAGGATGGTCATGCAGCCATGGACCCTGCCTGAGCGCAACTCGATAGCCAATTGCGAGCTCGTACGGCCGGTATTGCGACGAGTCAGAACTCATATTGGTCATTTTTCCTTCGGATACTCGGATATGGATAGTGGATAGGTTCCGGAGCCCCGTCTTCTTGACGATCCCCGCGCACCCCACACGGCGCACGCTATAAGAGCGGATTGGCCGGTGCTATTGCCGACCTTCAGGGTCTTGTGCTTTTTCTCCGCCCGCCTCCGTGGTCTCACCATGTCCGCTGTGTACGAGTCCCAGTCCGAGGTCGACGCCGACAAGACCGCCGCGCCGTCTCTCGATCTCGAGAAGGGCGGGAGCGACGGCGACGTGCACTCGGACGGCCATGACGAGAAACACGAGTCTCAGTCCGGTCATGGACATGGACACCCAGATCATGACTTCCGCGCAGAGGAGCGCGACGATATTCCAGCTGCAGTCGAGCCTCCTCATGTTGCTGTGGGCGACTACCCCGACGGCGGACTCACGGCTTGGCTTGTTGTCATTGGGGTACGTGCTTTCGTTGATGTAGGGATGTGTGCGCTGACGGGCTTTGTGTAGGGCGCATGCTTGACTTTCTCGACGTGAGCAGCTCCGTATGGACTATTTCTCCACACGTCTAAATGTCACTGATGCTATGGTTTGTCTAGCTTTGGATTCGTCAATACGTGGGGATCGTTCCAGGCGTACTACGAGGACGTTTTGCTCAAGGGCACACCGTCATCGACGATGTGAGTCTTCTTCGTCTTCGTCTACCGGAATGATCAGTCTGACAGTGATTCTTGTAGTGCATGGATCGGTTCGGTGCAGTACGCCCTGGTCTTTCTTCCCGGTCTCGTCTTCGGCCGGCTCTTCGACATCGGATACTTCAGGATCCCCTTCCTGATCGCAAGCGCCGTTCTCATCATGTGCACGTTCCTCGTCGCCGAGTGCACCCAGTATTGGCACTTCATGCTTTGCCAGGGACTTGTCATCGGAGTAGGTCTCTCGTTTGGACTGTGCATACATCGCAGCGGGCTGATATGTTTCTTTTGTAGTTGTGTTCTGGTGTTCTCTTCGGGCCAGCTATGGGTATCATCGGTCACTGGTTCAAGAGGAGACGCGCTATCGCTCTAGCGATTGTCGCTCTTGGCAGCTCGACTGGCGGGACGGTCATGCCAATCGCGTTCGGCCGACTTGTTGACGAAGTAGGGTAAGCGAACCTCCTCTTGTACTTCGCCATCAAAGAAAGCTAACAATCCATTTGTTTAATAGGTTCAAGTGGACAATGCGCACCCTCGGCTTCGTCCTCATCTTCACCCTCGGCGTCGCAAACTTGACGCTAAGGCGTCGTTTGCCGCCCGTAAAAGCCCACGGCGGCCTCTTCAACTTCGCACAGTTCAAGAACCTCGCCTTCACGTTCTACACGATCGCCGGCTTCGTGTGCTTCCTCGGTCTCTACACACGTACGTTTGCACGCCCCCTCCTACCATTGACTCTCGCTAATCAGATCGTCGTTCTTCCTTACAGTATTGACTTACGTCCAAGCAAGCGCACCAAGCCAAGGCGTCGACCCAAAACTCGTACCCTACATCCTCGCGCTCGGAAACACCGGTTCAGCCGTCGGCCGCCTGAGCACCGGCATCCTCGGCGACAGATTCGGGATCATGAACGTCATGCTCCCCTTCACCGTCTTCGCGGCCGTCTTCACCTTCATCTGGCCCTTCATCCACGGCACCGGCCCCATCGTAGCCATCACAATGCTCTACGGCGTCTCAAGCGGCGCATTCGTCGCGCTGCTCGCCGGCCCGATCATGGCGATGGGCCCGACGGAAGACGTCGGGAGGCGGACGGGGATGTATTTCACTGTCATGGCTATCGGCGCGCTTGCTGGGCCGCCGATTAGTGGGGCTATTCATGATGCTACTGGGAGTTACAAGCCGGTGGGTATATATGCGGGGACGACGGTGTTGGCGGGTGTGGCGTGTCTTGCGACGTCGAGGTGGTTCGTTATGGGTGGAAGTTTCAAGGGCAAGGTTTAGGGTAAGGGGCTGTACGGGGATAGGAATTACGCATACTACAACCTATAGAAGCGCTGGTAACGCTACGGATCTCATGATAATGACTTCATACATTGGGCTATGTCTTCGACCAATAAAGCTCGCGACGCTCATACCAAAAGGCTGTAACACTTTGCAAAGCGCTGAAAAATTCGGAGAAAAATCGAGCGCGTGTAGCATAGCATCACCGGCCGCCATACCTCGCAGCCGGCGGCAAGCTCGGTCCCGTAGACGCGGTAGCGAGGACTTTGTCTTCATGACTTGTCCAGGACGGACCTTGCCTCGTGCGTGACGCGTGAGAAATCCCGCCCGAGGGCAATCGAACGGAAAAATTCGTATCTTCTACTTCAACGGCCAGCAGGTCAATCGATCCTACGCACCCCGCGACCACCACACCACACGCTTATCCTTGAGGATCGACAATACCAGTCGAACCTCGGATCCCATCGCATAAAAAGAACACACAATCATGGCGTACGTACACTTGGGCAGAAAACGGGTTATGCGGACAGTGTAGCTGACGGAAGGGTTAGTGAGGAACAACTCCAGGATATCCCCGAGGGGGAGATCGAGTCCAACTGGGACCAGGTCGTTGACAAGTACGTCGGGCGCGTGTATTGGATGGATGTGCGGCTGATGGGGAGTACAGCTTTGACAACATGGACCTCAAGCCCGAGCTTCTCCGTGGCGTCTACGCCTACGGGTGCGTCTTTTTGTTTGATCCTATCCACATATATGTCTGAAATATAATGTATAGTTTCGAGCGCCCGTCTGCGATCCAGCAGCGCGCGATCGTGCCCGTCGTAAAGGGCCACGACGTTATTGCCCAGGCCCAGTCGGGTACCGGCAAGACCGCGACGTTCTCCATCTCCATCCTCCAGAAGCTCGACCCGAACATCAAGGGCACCCAGGCGCTCATCCTTGCGCCCACGCGTGAGCTCGCGCAGCAGATCCAGAAGGTCGTCGTCGCGCTCGGCGACTACATGAACGTCGAGTGCCACGCCTGCGTCGGCGGCACCAACGTCCGCGAGGACATGGCCAAGCTCCAGGAGGGCGTCCAGGTCGTCGTCGGCACCCCCGGCCGCGTGTACGACATGATCAACCGCCGCGCGCTCAGGACCGACAACATGCGCATCTTCTGTCTTGATGAGGCCGACGAGATGCTTTCCCGCGGTTTCAAGGACCAGATCTACGAGGTCTTCCAGCTCCTGCCCCAGGACACCCAGGTCGTCCTCCTCTCGGCTACCATGCCCGCCGACGTGCTCGAGGTCACCAAGAAGTTCATGCGCGACCCCGTCCGCATTCTCGTCAAGCGTGACGAGCTTACGCTTGAGGGTATCAAGCAGTTCTACATCGCCGTCGAGAAGGAGGAGTGGAAGCTCGACACGCTCTGCGATTTGTACGAGACCGTCACCATCACCCAGGCCGTCATCTTCTGCAACACCCGCCGAAAGGTCGACTGGCTCACCGAGAAGATGCACTCTCGCGAGTTCACCGTCTCGGCTATGGTACATCTGATTTCCTTGATCTTATATCATGATGCGCCTCGCTAACGCGCATCACAGCATGGGGACATGGAGCAGAAGCAGCGCGAGGTCCTCATGAAGGAGTTCCGCTCGGGTTCCTCCCGTGTCCTCATCACCACGGACCTTCTCGCCCGTGGTATCGACGTGCAGCAGGTCTCGCTCGTCATCAACTACGACCTCCCCACCAACCGCGAGAACTACATTCACCGCATTGGTCGTGGCGGTCGTTTCGGTCGTAAGGGTGTTGCCATCAACTTTGTGACCACCGAAGACGTGCGCATGCTCCGCGACATTGAGCGTACGTCTTTCCGATCACTACCCCAAATTGTGATGTATATAAATGCTAATGGCCATCTGCAGAGTTCTACAACACCCAGATTGACGAGATGCCGCTCAACGTTGCCGACCTCATCTAGACGCCTCACCCACGCCCCGTATTACGCACTTTATCCGATCCGCCTGCAAAAGTCTGCCCCGCACCCGAGGGAGATCCGCTGTTTAGCACTCCGTTGTTATCACCCTGTACCACCCACTGCTGATCGCGCTTCTCACCACACTTGACCCTGGTCTCTCACTCTCTCGTAGTCTCTCCCCGTATCATATCCTCTCTTCGTCTTTTCCTATGTCCTTATATCTCTCGTCTTCTCCGAGTCTTGCGCACCGATGTCCGATGTTGTCTCCGCTACGCTTACGCTTACGCACCCGCTCGCCAACGTGTATATCATCAGTGTCCGGGGAGAATGTATGTTCATTGGATGCCAGAACTGCTCGGTGTACTCAAGTCCGAGGTCAAGTCCGAGATGCACCTCGGTGCTTGTTCATTGTCACGGCGAAGTGGACCCTTGTTTGAGCACTGCGCACAGCGCCCACCGCCGACACCGAAACAAAGCCCGCGCCCCGAGCGGCGGGCAAGGCCGACTCGAAGATCCCGACGATTGCTTACGTGCTTACGGAGATGGTCAATGATCTATCGCACATCTGTAGTACATAGTGCTATAGCCAGTCTGCGGCTCAGCGAGAGAGGATCGACGGCCATCTTGAGCTCATGTCAGCGCGGCTCTCACTGCGTCTGCGACAAGTATGCCGCCGATCTTGACACACGCTTCGATGTCTCTCGGCTCGATCTGCCAAGATCGACTCTCTTGCAGAGCGCAGTGAGCACGGAGCTGCGAGGAGCTCTGCCCGCCGAGGGTATGCAAACGAGAGGGAGGCGTAGGGTTGGGACGTCTCAGCCCTTCGAGCTTGTTAGACGCCACGTCGAATTCAACCAATGCTCGTATGACAACGTATATCATTGTACCTGCGACGACGTCATGATGCTCGTTGATGCCCAAACGTACGCGGATCTTTTCAGCTCGAGAACCAACCGCTGTGCTCGATGACGACTTCAGGGTTTGAGGAGAGCGCCTCGCAGCACGTCGAGGCATGTCGGCGTCTCGACAACGGCACTGCATGAGGGCCACTGCCGTCGGTTCTCCGCTTCTTTCAACGTTCCGTACTGTACACAGTGACGTGTTCGTCCGTGTACAACGTACAGATAGCGAGATGGTTCAAACTCTAGGTATGTATCAATGACTGTACAAAGCGTGCCCCTGTGGCGCATGAACACGACACCGGTCGTCGACAGGTAGAATGTAGGCAATCAGCATTTTGCTCCCCCCGGATGTCGTCTCCGAGTACAAACGAATGATGCCCGACGCCAACTCAGTTCAAAACCGTGTTGGTATCTTATTGAGGACAGGGACCCACAGGGGACGCGCGCTGCGCGCAAAAGATCGGTCGAAGGAGAAAACCGAGGCCGCGCACCGCCGCATCAGCGTACTGGCAGTTACCCGACCTGGCAGCGCGGTATACAGCCGTCCTCCTCCACCCTGCGTGCTCTCCGGTTGATGGAGCGTCTGATGTCCCGTAACGGTCGTCGTCCTGGGGTTGATCGACGTCCACGGCCTCGCAGCACCGCCTCTCTGGCCCGCCACAAACTGTGCCGCAAGCAGATATATAACCTGCCCCGTGTCTCCGCCATGCCGGTCCTCCTCATTCACTTTCGAACTCGTGTCTCGTGCCCGGTCCCTCGTGGGGTTCCTGTGGCCTTTTGTTTGCTTTCCCTTCTCGATCTCTTCACATTCTTATCACGACCCTTTTACCATTTTATTCAAACTGCATATAACGAGGCTGTTCTCTCCCCGCCCCGTCTTCTCTTTTCTTCCCGACCCGGCGTCGCCCTTTTGTACCTGTGCTTCAGACACTGCTCTTCCGCCTCTTCCGCTCTTCTAGCCCCGCGTTCGCAGTTCGTGCCCGGTCTGCCCTTCTGTTTCAAGCTCGTACATCGACTCGTCCCCATCACAATCGCCCTTGACTCCGACCTCAAATACACATGGCTGTCGTCACACTGAACATGCCCACTGTTCCCCACTCTGGCCCGGGATCCTATCGTCTCGCTCCGGTACGTCTACGACCTCTTCAACCCCATCCGGCCACATCGGCTGACCTTGGCACTCTCACACACAGACGCTCACTGCGCTCCGCATCCCCCATCGGCCCGCTGCTCTCTCACTCGCAGGATGCCCGACTCGAGGAGGATCGCGCGCGCCCTGCGTGAACGGTAACGCGGGTACGACCCCAATGTCGCCCACGGGCACGCTCTCGGAGATCGTGCCCCGAGTGTACGTCTCCGATCTGAGCGTCGCGGAGGACACCGCGCTACTCAACGCCGCTGGTATCACCCACGTCCTATCAGTCCTCCCGTTGGCGCGGTCCCCTCCGTCGCTCCGTACTCGCACGCACATGGTTGTGCCGCTGCAAGACACGCCTTTCGCCGAGCTCGTAGGACACCTACCATCCACAACATCATTCATCGACAAGGCGCTGCGGTCCAGTCCGCATGCCCGCGTACTCGTGCACTGCGCGATGGGCGCCAGCCGCTCTGTATCTGTTGTCGCTGCGTATCTCATCGCAAGCCGCGGGATGAGCTCTGCGGAGGCTGTTGCGGCTGTGAAAGCGCGCCGTGCCGTCGCCGCGCCCAACTGGGGCTTCGTGATGCAGCTCGAGGAATACGCTCGCAAGCTCGAGGCTGATGCCGAGGCCGACTCGCCCATCGACAGGCCCCGGACGCCAGCCTCCGCCTGAATGGCGAGGGCCCTCCATCAATCATTGCCTATGCAATATACCATGCGATCCCTCCCGTCCCAGCCAGCCCTGAATACACCCCACACGCACGCCCCACGTTGATATCACGCCAACAATATTGCATCCTATGTTGCCTGGCTCCGTCCCGTCGAAACCTCATGTTGTACTCGCCGTCCATCCGCAAGTTTCCGTATCCCATACACCCGCATCTCTTCTCCCGTTCCAACACGCACGCACGCTATACCCCACTCAGCCGCGTGGAGAGCATCGTTGTTGCCGCACCCCGGATAGTCGTCACCCTTTCCCCATCGGCGTATCCGGTCGAGTACGAGCCTCGCTCGCCCGAGGGCCTTTGCACTCGTTTTACGCGCACCCCCAAAACAGAACTGCCAGTACTACTTACCTTACGACATCTTCGAACGAACGCTAGGCGGTTTAGGTCGTGGTCTCATCCATCATGCTGCACACCGTTTATCCTTTGTTTAACTTATGATATTACGCCTTTTACTTTCTTCCTTCTTTGCGACGCCGATCAACCTTTATTTCATTCTTTTCTGATTTCTACACTTGCGAGAGGAATCATTGTACACTAGTCCGGAGGAAGCTCGAGCCCGTGCTGTGCATGGGCTACGAGAATTGCTGCTGTTATGGAACGCATTCACGCAGCAATACCTTTGTTTGATTGAAAGCACGCAGTACCATATTGCGCAGGGTCGCTCATTCAAACGTTCAGGGTGAAGTAACATGGCGCAGCGACCGTCCGCCCGCGCAAAGCATCTCGTGCCGATGGAAGCTGGAACTGTGGGCGTTTACATTCCGTAGGTAAGCACCCACAGCTTTATGCGCGCAGTTCCGGCAGGTTACAGCGTCGAACCGCAGCCTCTATGACGCATCTGAGCTGAAGGCACTGCTGTCAGTGCTTAAAGGGTCTGTCGTCCGTCAAACAGCCAGTCGAACAACGATCAAAGGCAACATATGTAGAAGGTGAATTATACGTGTACAACAAGTGCGGGGGTGGCGGTGCCCCGGCTTACAGTTCAGATCATCGCCAGTCGTAAGGTCCGAGATGGACAGAGATCAACAATCTAGAATGATCCGGGATCGAGAGGGTCGTGTAGCTGTAGCATGAGGCTAACAGCGCCTAAGGTATGGCGGTGTCCGGTATCCCAAGAAGAAGTATGGTATCGCGGCAATCAAGAGGATAGGGGGATGGAGTGGGATGTCGAGATGTGAAGGGAGTGAACGGCAGGATCATGTCCCGCAGCATTGAGAGCTCTTGGCTGCTTCTGGGTTCAACGCCACACCGCCGGAAGGTTTGCTGAGTTTGACGCCGGGGCTCTGCACAAACAAGGGAACATTAGAGTCCATATGAAGCGCCACACGCAGGACCAGCAGGTAAACACGCACCCTATCATCCTCGAATACGCCTTCCCGGACCTTCTTGAGAATATCCTTACACGCTTCCTCAAACGCCTCCTGCACGTTCTGTCCACTCTTCGCACTCGCCTCCACAAACAGCAGACCCTCCTCCTTTGCCCATTGCTCCGCCTCTTCCGTCGTGACCTGCCTGGTGACTTGGGAGCGGGACGTCCGCTTTGCGCTCTTATCTGTTGTTGAGGCCGAGGATGGAGCGTCTTCTGACACGAGGTCCACCTTGTTGCCGACGAGGATGCAAGTCAGATGAGGATCTGCATGTTGCCGCACGTCTGCAAGCCAGGAGCGTGCGTTTGTGAAGCCTGAACCAGCACGTGAAATAGGGGCGGTGGAGATTGCAGCAAGACAAGCAGTGCAACATGCCGGGAGTGAGGAGAGCGTTCAATCATGAGTGAGATGGTCTGTATGGAGCAGGAGGAGGTTTACACACTCTGCCGCGATGTTACATCGTACACCAATAAACAGCCTGCGGCTCCGCGGTAATATGAGCGTGTTATTGAGCGGAAGGATTCGGTGCCGGCGGTATCCCAACCTGTCGTGTTCATTCAACACCTCGCTCCAGCTGTAGATCCAAGCTTCGGACAGTGAGAACGCACATTGTAACTTCACGATCTTGTTCTCCTCCGGTATAGTTATGAGCTTAGATCCGAACTCAACGCCCAGCTACATGCGGTTTCCGGCAGCTCGCACAGTGCATCCATGGGCAAATACAGACGTATATACGCACCGTTGGATCGGGGTTTGCGAGAAAGCGCTGATCTGTCAGGCGGACCAGTAGAGATGACTTGCCAACGGCGGCGTCCCCTTGGGTACAGCCTCAGACGTATGAACCATCGCAACGAGCCGCAGAACGCGCACCAGTGATGATGAACTTCAATACATAGTGCCAATTTACCCCGGACATGGCTTAGGATAGTGATAGGGAGCGAAAGGGACGATAGTGGTGGTACGAGAGCAAGCTTGTGAGTGGATTCGGCGCGCATGACGCGTGCCACCAAGTTTCGTGACTTCGGCGTACACGGCGCTTCGGTCCGAGGCGCGGTCGCGCGCCAGCTTTCCTCCTGCTGCCATGTCCGTCCTCGCCTGCCTTCGTCGCCCACCACAATTCACACGCGCATGGACAGTTGCGCGAACGTACGCCAAGAAGGTCGAGGCGGCCGCACCTCCGCGGAAGGTTGTCATTCCTCAAGGTCCGTTGGCTGGCTTTTTGTTCGCGTCATAAGGTGACTGACGCGCCGAGGTAGTGCCCGAGGGCGCGCTGTCAACATGTAGACCGAATACGCCATTAGTCGGAGTCAATTACTTGAAAGACCAGGAAGAGGTTCTTGCGCTACCGGACGAGGAGTATCCGCCCTGGTTATGGGACCTGCTCAAGCCAAAGCAGTTGCCAGATGACGGTCCAGGTGGGAAAGCGGAGAAGGTCAGGTTGCGCAAGGAGAACAGGGCTCGCATCCGGGAACAAAACTTCATGAAGACACAATAAGGGTCTTTACATGTCATGGAGGTGGTTATAGGTATGTCGTCGGCAACATTGCAAGGCCCGCCCATGCTAACGCACTTGGTAGTACGCTCTGACACACTAATTGCATTTGCTTCATTCATTGCTATACCTATGGATCGTTTGCGTCTATCTCCATACGATGCTTCACATTGTCAAGAAGCGTCGACTTCTGTTCCCGGGCTACTCATTCGCGAGGCACATCGTCGGTGCTGCACTCCAGTTCAAGGGACCCCGGAGTTGAGCTTGAATCTGGGTTCGCTCTGACCTGGCTTCTCCGACCGCATTGTCTATTGCTCCCATCGGTAGTCGCATGTTCAGACAGGTTGCTCTCGAACCTTTTCCCCAAGGGTAGGTCTGCCGGGAAGGTGCTATATGTAACCCGAATGAGCTTGCTGCTGAAGCATTCTGAGTCCGCGCTTGGTCCGCGCAAGTTCGGCTCGCGGAAACGACTATGGTGATAATGCACAGTGATGCTCGCCAGGAAGCACTACGGAGTAGAGAATGGGCACACGTCGCAGTCACGCCAGCATCAGGCAAACCCAAAGTCGATGAATTTGAGCTGAACACCGACGTGGAGAGAAATTCCCACGCGCAATTATGTATGACACTGCATAAATATGTGGCTATGGTGAGGGGAAAATTCAAGCCAGGATGGGGTGGGCGAAATGCTCGAAAGACCATATTTGCACGATCAGAGGGACCTGATCCAAGGTCCACGGACCGTGCGTGATCGCGATGGGTTGCTTCCCACGCGCTGTGACTCTCGTGAGGACGCGTCTGGAGGATGTTGCGCGCCGAACGGAACGCGTCGAAGGCTGCCTCGGACCCTCATCATCTTCTCGACCAGCCACGCCTCTCGCGCAATGGATTTCCTTACTTCCACTCTTTCCGTGTGATCGTGATTGTGACCTCAAAACGTCAAGCACTCAAGGTCCTCAAAATATCGAAAGCATCAAGGCATCAAGACGACTGCTAGGTACAAGGACAAGACGAGAGCAAGATGAAGCGCGTGATGTACATCAAGAAAACAGACACAGCAAAGCAGATATGCAAGATATAGTAGCGAGAGAGAGAGAGCGTGAGTTAAGAGTTCGTGATGGGACGAGGGCCGTGGACGCAGTCGGGTGGGCGCTTATTCAGGATCGCCCTGCCCCTCGAATTCGTCGCGTTTGCGCTTTAGTGCACGCGACGTGGACACTATAGGCCGGTATTCGGGTGGCGAACAGCTCTGCGCGTCGTGGAGAGAGCTGGAAGCATCGCGTGATACAGGTCGAGCGCTAGTAGACGAAGCCGGAGAAGACGTGTTCTGAAACCGGGTCAACTTCAACAACATCACAAGACACAGGCCCAACTTCAAGTTCCAACGTTCCAACACGCACCGTATGTTCGCCGCCGCCGACGACGGAGCTTGCCGCGGCACTATCCTCAGCTCCAGTGTATAGCCCAACCTTGCCAGTACGATGAGGGCTTCTGCGCTCTCGTAAGATGGGAGCTCACCGCTCACAACGGCGTCATTCCCGAGGCTTGTGGGCTCGTAGTCTTCATAGGCGTAGGGAGTGAGCTGCAGAGATTGTCAACGCTAGGGTGCACAGTGGTACGTGCATCACATACCAGCAGTCGTTGAAGGAGGTTGTGTGTATGCCGTCCATATGGATGATGACGCACTAGGTGTCCGTGCCGGTAGGAGGGTGGCCGCTCGATGGCACCGCCGTCGTGGTAGGCAGGTGGTGGTGGTGAGGCGTCGTGTTGAAGAACGTCAATGCTGCAAGCCATCGTGGCCAACGTGCGTGCAGACGGAAGATCGTGACAAGATACTCGAAGCGAGGCGACCGCATTTTATACTCGGCCTGACACGAGCGCGCTCGACCCGCGCACGACCTCGAGTCTATGAACTCGGGTCCTATCACCCCGACCACCTCCCACAAACTGTAGGCAGAACGGGACATACACTCTGCCACCCCTCCGACAAGCCTCGCTATGCGAGGATTCTATCTGTCCAGTAGACCGGCCGCCTTGCGACAAGTCCCTCGCCTTCGACGGCTCTCGGTCCTTCGCACGCGCCTATTTGACGCGCATATCCCGTATCTCAGCGTGCAACGTTCAGCACGGGCCTCGGACAGGGAGACCGGCTCGGACGAAGGTCAGGACGCCGGTCACGCTGAATCTGTACAGACACAGAGTGAAGCGGGTACTGTGGGCAACAGAATTGCCTTGCGTGGAGCAGAGATGGTGCCTGTTCGACATATCTCTCGGCTGGGGTAGGAATAAATTGATAGGATCGCTCCTGCCATCGAAACCCTTGAATGCGTCAACTGTGAATCGCATACAGAGCGATATGTGGGCCAACAATCAATCGCTCCGACCCTGGAGAGCTTCGGGAACTTTCATCTTCATCCATGGTATGCGACATTTGCACGGTATGTGAAATAAGACGCGACTAACATTACACCTCCAGCTTGACGGAAGTCGAGAAGACCGAGCATTCCTCCGAGGCGATTCCGTGGTAAAACGCAGAAGTGTCCTGGAGCGAGGTCGAGCCGCGATGTCGAGACGCATCCCTGTATCAACCGGTATACTGGCGGTAATATGAGATACTTAGACTCTGAGGCCTATCTGACAACTGGACGTACCTTCGAAACCCCTGGAACCGGCCGTCTTGTGGTGTACACCCTCGTCCACCACAAATATCTTCCTCCCTTCTTGCCCAGCAAGTCCGCCAGTCTACTGTACTCAGACAGCACATGCTCGGGCGACTCTCCAGGCAATACACAAGCAGGATGAACCGTCGTTTGCCAGGGTCCCGATACATGGCGTACTGGTTCGAAGGCCACTGCAGTACCTCGTTCAAGACGAGTCGCGGTTAGGTTCGGTTCCAGCGGCCTCGGCGTATGATTCATCGGGCCTTGCGGCAATGTGCTGCATATTGTGTCATCGAAAGGCGTGTTCCGGGGCATATAGCTCGACGACGTGTACGTCGGAGGGAGATATGGATACGATAGGGATCACTGGGCCTTCAAGTCGGCCAACGCGGATTGTGTATGAAGTCCGCTAGTCCACATGTCGTTCTGACACGCTTGTAGGCGAAGAATATAAAAAAGCGCAGATAGTAGGTCGTCGATGTCAAGTCGCAGGTTGGTCGCAGGTAACGAGTCGCAGGTAACAACCTTACCCGCGTCGGGTTTACGCGCCGTCGCGTGCATTCCGAACTCCGCTCAGGAGTCGAACACGGGAACCTCCGGGCCATCCACCGTACTTTCAACCATCACCATGTTGGGTTCAAAGGCACAGGAGCACCCGGTCCCTCTTGTATTGCCTTGTATCCCGAATGATCACAATGAACAGACCCGTTTATGGGTGTTTTCCACGGATGGGACCTCTTTTGTTATGTAGCTTCATAAGCTCTCGTTCGCCACCGGTCTGGCGTATCAACTTGACAGCCCACCACCTCCTAATATGCAGAAAGTTCTGCGCTGCGATTTCACGAGTGTCCCTCCCCACCCTCTCATATATGCTTCGCTGGAGCCTACGCACTCGCCTCATCGACTGCGGCGCATAGACCTTCACCGACCGCGAAGCAAGTATACGGTGGGACGGAGTCCTCTCAACGACTTTGTGCTGGGAGAAGAATATTCAGGGCAGATTGGTACTTCAATGCTCGCTCCTCCGATATTTCAGCAGTCTTACTCGAAGCAGATTGGACGCACTGCACGCTTCTGAACGACGAGCAAGGCAATGTGCGGATAGTCGACAACTTCACGACGAACGGCATATGGGTAGGTCCCCTTCTGAACACAGACCTGCGCAGCCAATCATGAATGTCTCTAGGTCGATCTTCGGCGCTTAGCGCCAGGCGAATCTTGCATATTGAGAGATGGGGCTTCTGTCCGCTTCGGTTTATGCGCTCTCGCCCATTGCAACCCGAGTGACTACATGACGAAATCATATGCGAGGGGCTTCAATCACCATTATACCTTCCACTCGTTTGTCACGAAGGATCCCCCTGGCCTATCTCCCTCAGACTTGGAGCTTCGAAAGCGGGCGCGAGAGTTGGAGAGCAGCAAGTTCGGTCTCTTAGAGGAACGCCTACGCTTAGATCGCCAGCTGCAGGACATTGAGGAAGAGCAACGTCGAATGTACGTTAATCACGATTTCTAACCCTATGTCAGCTGACGTCTATCCTTAGCACTCTATCAATGCGGGAAGTACCACCAACGAAGGACCCTGATACGGTGAAGAATGCCCAGTCTCGCTACGACATGTATGCTATGGCAGTCCGTCCAGATTACCCGGATTTCTTTCCTCCAGACGTGCGCGACTTTCGGCCGCAGCCCTGGTTCCTCCCCGATGTTAGCAGTGAGGATGAAGAGGAGCGGAGCCTTTTCGAGATGTATCGCTCGTTTGGAGCGCCACCGAATAAGCAGCCTCCTCCCCTCGAGAACAACTATCGAGTGTTCGAATTCACGAGGGTCATTCACCACGATGACGCACCTGACTGGTCTCATCCTGATATCGTCTGGGGAGAACTGCAGTGTTTGAACCTGAGCAAGCCGTTGAACGTACCCCCGTCTATCATCTTCTGGTCCATAGTCCATTGCTTGCCCGTCTACATGCACCCCGGCTATCGCTCCATGGCAGGACGAGGGCCTTATGCGCATCCGTATGCGGTTAGCGAATACGTCTTCTCCGACGAATCCGCCGCGCAATCCCGCATTGATCTCGGTCTTCCGCCGCTTGAGGACCCGTATCCCCTTCGCCCTGTTAAAGCCTTGCAAGTTGCGGAAGGGAGAACCGTTGGGAAGGAGAGTGAAATCGCGGAGCGTGTGGCTCTTCTCCAGGCGAAGGGCGAACTACCTCCCGGCCCCGGACCCGTAGCGACAGCATCCTCTGAGGAAAGCCGCTCGTCAACGATATCCGCGTCAACACCCTCCAAGCGGCCTCGCTCCTCAAGTACTGGATCGGATGGAGTTGCCGGATCAGACGCGACGGCGACCGGTAGCCTCTCTGTAGTTCACGCTCCAAAGCGTCGCAAAGCCTCTCCTGATATATGTACTGCCCTTGTACTATGTTAAGCAGAACTACGCCTTTTGTTACCAGACTTCGAAGTCGCATGGCCCACAGTAGACATATTGGCATGTTGAGTGTATAGGGTTGCCATGATCACCGTGCCGTTAGTGGTTCTTAACGAGTCAATTTTTATCGGACAAGGAACGTTCAGGACACATACGCTTCGGTTGAGCGTATCTCTCGCGATTATACTGCAGTTATCTCTACGTGAATGGTCGTTCTATGTCATACAGGTGTTGATACATATTACAAGCAATCTCAGGGTAGTGTATATACAGGAACAGCACTGCGTCTTAGACTCCATCGCGCCAATGCAACTCAGGCAGTCAAGTCCATGCTATTCTCCAGCTCTTCATCAACTTCCAGCGAGTTCACCCGCTTCTGCCGCGCTGGAGGGCGCCTGATGGCTGCGTTGGAAGACCCGCTTGCGCTGGCAGTCGCAGGCCGCAGATGTCCATAACGGCCCCCAGGACCGCCGCGCACAGACGTTAAACCGTGTGAGCGTGCCGTCGGAATGGAGCGTGCGATCAGTGTCTCCCGTGCCAGGAGCGAGGCGTGCGAAGAGATTGCATCCTGCACCGACAATGAGCTCTGAGCGGAGAAAAGCGAATGCTGAGGAGTTCGATCGGGAGCGTCAGAGTTGGAATGGTCCATCCGTGACACCGCAAGTACGTCGGGGCTTGCCATAGCTATGACTGGACCGCGGACGTCCTCGCGGGGAAGTTGTAGTCGCGATTCCAATGGCATGGTGGGAACGGCGCATACGGCCGAGCCCACGGGCGTCACCGAATCGTCGTGCCCGTGCACAGCGACGGCCCTGATCGTCGCATCGGGCGACTGGTCCCTGCCTGCCGCCGCGGACGTAGCATCGACGTAGGAATGTCCGGCAGTCAACGACGAGTTATCAATGGGGCCAGCTACGTGGCCATCGGTAAGACCAGGAAAGATCGTGTACATGCTATCAGCGGCCGAGAACCATGGGCTGGCAAGGGCGTCCGCGATGGAGATTCTGTCTTCCGGCAAGTCTTGCAACAATCCTTTCAGAACTTCTCGACCTGCAGTCATCCCGAGCATCAGCCTACGTCCAGATTACCATTGAGAGACGGTGCGACTGATGCTTACATTGTGAACTGAAGTCATCACTGTCCAGAATCTGGATATCTGCTAGCTTGATTCCATGCCTGGGTTTGAAGTTGTTTGTCAGGCTTGTATGTTCGTATCAGTCATGCAAAGTGTGAGACGAGAGTAGAGATAACCGCGACGTACAGTGCCACCAGTATCAATCCCGCAGTCCATACGTCGGACTTGTGGGTGCGGTTGCCCTGCCCGAGACTATCAAGTTCCGGAGGAAACCAGCCCACGGTGCCAACCTTAAAGGTCTGATGGGTGATTGTCACGAATTGTGTTCCATCGAAAGTCAGGCTGGGGGCATACCATGCCAATCTCATCCTCACGCTGCCGTTTCACGCTGCCGTTTCACGCTGCCAAAGTCTCCGATCTTGATGGTCCAGTTCCTAATGTCATACTTCTTTCCGATGACAACTGGCGTCACGACACTCTTCTTGGGAGTATAGCGGACGAGTAAGTTATCGATCTTCAAATCGCGATGGATGAAGTCGTTCCCATGCAGGGTCTAAAAGCACAAATGAAATCATCAACATGAAGATCTTAGCTTGGGTGAGGACCCACCATTAGTCCCTTTAGTATTTGACGCCCAAAGTAACGCATCTCGGATTCACCTTCGTGACAACCTGTCAGCACTGGCGTCGGCGCCAAGGAGAGATTGCCTTACTGAGAGATTTGTTTCCTGACCACCTTATGAAGTTCCTCAACGTCCCGCCCTCACGATACTCCAAGATCATACCTGTATCAGAATAAGGACGCTTAATCAGTCGCAGAGCTCCTCAGAAGAGGATGGAACAGACAGTGCACAGCAAAGCTTTCTTTACGAATAGAATCGTACTCGTCCACTGTGAGGGCAGAAGCGATAGAAATTATCTCCGGCTCCAAGATCTTGCACAAATACTCTATTCCGCCGGTCGCCTTCATGGTCTCCAGATATACTGCCTCGTTGCGACGACTAGAAGGTGGACATATATCCGCCATGTCCAAGTTATCAGCGGCCCAATGCTGTCGCTTGATTGCCACAAGATCGCCGGGGGCAGCGCGACGCTTTGCGAGGAAGACGGCACCATAGGCGCCTCTCCCTATGACTTTGAGCATGTCAAATCGTTCGTGTACGATTGCTTCAGGAAACATCTGGACAAGATCGCGGAAGACGTAGTGGTGCCAAGCACCAGTTGATAAACGAAGTGCGATAATGTCGCATCCTTGTAAAGGCGGTGATTGACGTGAGTTGATAGGGATGGATATGTCAGTGAGGCAGTCCCGCCGCAGGATCTATAAGAGTAATCAGAGGCAGATTCAACACGTACAATGAATTGCCACGTACAAAAACATCGGAATCGAGACCATTCCCTAGAGCAAATTTTACTGCTGGCAGATATGCAGCCGCATCGGGCAGCTGGCTGAGCATCCCGTTCCAGCCGAGTTGAAAGGATGCATCTAGCGGGAGGGCGAGTCACTGAGTGAACAGATATAGAAGGCGCCTTCACATCTACCTTCGAGTGCCGGCTCAAATACAATTTTCTGATTCATCGCGGGCACGGAGGTCGATGAGGGGGTGACAGACCACGAGTCGCATCGATCGCTTAGCCGAAAGAACAGTGTAGAAAGACCGGCTGACGGGTTGAAGGCAGGAGTGCCCACGGGGATGCAGCACGCTAGCGTATCTTCCGCGCATAACTCGCGCAAGCTATTGACAGGAAGTTCTGGGATGAAGAAGTCGGAGTATTGATGGGGAGGAGTAGATGTCATTTTGGCGTGTCACTGAATGCGACCCGGCAGTCTGATTTAAAAGGGCACCGTCATACTGCTGAGCACGGTAACCAGTGGCCATTCGATTGTTCGGGCAGAGCATGGCCCAAGTATTTGGAACAAAAGCACGACACGTTCAGAACAACCGGAATCTGACAGAACAAGGCGCACAGGGGTGGTCTCCTTGATCGCGCTGTTGATCATAGATCGCGCTGGTCAACGGTCTCCATGGTTCGCGGATAGCGCGCTTTTCGGAAGGACAACGAATGAGGTATCGTGAAACGGCTAGTCGGCAACGCGAAGACGCAATCGACCACCGTGGCGATTGAACTCGTCCTAAGCCTGACTAGTGTGACCTGACTGATGTCGCTGGAAAATATCAGGCAGTCGGAGACCTGGCAATAATAACCTGCGAACTTCGTGAGGTCACAATAGTGTTCGAGGGACGGGTCCTTCCTCGCGATAACGTTGCGGTGTGCTGAGCAAAACAATAACAGGGAATTGTAAGGAACGAGTGGGGACACAACATGAGTGTCTGGAGCAAGCCGCCGGCGCCCGCGGCAGATGCGCCCATCAGTTGGGCTGCCGCGAAGTGGTAGTGCTTGACAGAAGCGGCACAACCTCACCCTCAACCATCTTGTCAGTATGCAGAGACCTCTGCCCTGCGATTTCACAAGCGTCCCTCCCCACCCTCTCATATATGCTTCGCTGGAACCTGCACACTCACCCCATCGACTACGACGCATAGACCTTCACCGACCGCGAACGAAGTACACGGTGGGGCGGGGTCCTCTCAACGACTTTGTGCTAGGGGAAGAATATTCTGGGCAGATTGGTATGTCTACACTCGTTACCCCGAGGTTATCATAGTCTTATGCCACGCAGACTGGACGCACTGCACGCTTTTGAGTGACGAGCAAGGCGATGTGCGTATAGTCGACAACTTCACGACGAACGGTATATGGGTAGGTCGCCCACTGTACACAAACCTACGCAGCTGATCATAAAGGCTACAGGTCGATCTTCGGCGCCTAGCGCCAGGCGAATCTTGCATACTGAGAGATGGGGACTCCGTCCGCTTTGGTTTATGCGCCCTCACCCATTGCAACCCGAGTAACTATATGACGAAATCATACGCGAGGGGCACCAACCACTGTTATACCTTCCACTCGTTTGTCACGAAGGACCCCCCTGGCCTATCTCCCTCAGACTTCGAGCTTCGAAAACAGACGCGAGAGCTGGAGAGCAGCAAGCTCAGTGTTTTGCAGGAACGCCTACGCTTAGATCGCCAGCTACAGAACATCGAAGAAGAGCAACGTCGAATGTACGCCATCACGCATTATAACTCTATGCGGGCTGACGTCTATTCTCAGCACTCTATCAATGCGGGAGGTACCACCCACGAAGGACCCTGATACGGTGAAGAATGCGCAGTCTCGCTACGACATGTATGCGATGGGAATTCGTCGACATTATCCGGATTTCTTTCCTCCAGACGTGCGCGACTTTCGGCCGCAGCCCTGGCTCCCCCCCGACGTGAGCAGTGAAGATGAAGAGAACGGGGCCCTCTTTAACATGTATCGCTCATTTGGAGCGCCACCGAACAAGCGCCCTCCTCCCCTCGAGAACAACTACCGGGTATTTGAATTCACGAGGGTCATCCACCACGACGACGCACCTGACTGGTCCCATCCCGACATCGTCTGGGGAGAACTGCAGTGTTTGAACCTGAGCAAGCCGTTGAACGTGCCCCCGTCTATCATCTTCTGGTCCATAGTCCATCGCCTGCCCGTCTACATGCATCCCGACTATCGCTCCATGGCGGGACGTGGACCCTATGCGCATCCGCATGCGGTCAGTGAATACGTCTTCTCCGACGAATCCGCTGCGCAATCCCGCATTGATCTCGGTCTTCCGCCGCTCGAGAACCCGTATCCCCTTCGCCCTGCCAAAGCTATGCAAGTAGCGAAAGGAAGAACTGTTGGGAAGGAGAGCGAGATCGCAGAGCGCGTAGCTCTTCTCCAAAAGAAGGGCGAACTGCCTGCCACGCCTGCCACAGCTCAATCTTCAGCCGCAACAACTTTTCACGAAAGTGGTCTATCGCCAAAGCCAACATCTACGTCTTCCAAGCGCCCGCGCGTGAGCGATGTAGAACTCCCTTCCGAAAGCGTTACCGAACCCGCTCGCAACTCTTCGTCTTCACCTTCGCCTTCTGATGATAAGCATGCATCTACGGACTCATTGCACTCGTCAGATATCAAGTCGGACGGTGTCATTGATCCAAGCACCACAGCAACGGCCAGCCGGTCCGCCCCGCCCCGCGCCCCCAAACGTCGCAAAACCTCACATTCGCCCGCTCCGAGTCCCACTGCTTGTAGCACACCCGCTTTCACATCGGATGAACCCAAGCATATCCCTCGCATGTCACCGGAGCCTCTGACCCCTACAGAAGAGCCTTCTATCTCAGCCATCGTATCCGAACCGCACCCTATTGAGCCCGCTCACCCGAGTGCCGATTCAGAACCGGAGGACTCCGTCGTTGCAGGAGAAACGGCGTCAGAGGCGGTTCCGGATTCTCATACTACACCTACGCGCACTGCGACTGATGATTGATCACCGCTTTCGACCATGTTTTGCGCTTCAATTCAGCTGCTCTTCGATGTCTAGTACTTTCAGGTACTACTGCTTTCCTCCTGCTTTGATCTACGGCTTCCGTCTTTGTATACCTCAACCTCATGTATCAGCAGTCGCATCTTACTTCGTTTCGTCAGGACACCAGTGTATTGCCTATGAATTCAACTTCAGCTCACTCGAGCCTTTTCGTCCATCGCTAGAAGGTCTTGGTTGACACCATGCCGAGCCCAGATACTCACCCCAAGGCTCGTAGACAAGGCCATCTTCGATTCGACGAGTGTTGCTCAGAGACACCAATACTCAAAGGCAAGCGCATGACATGATCTCGGTAAGACTAGTAGCGTCAAGATCGACACCTGCATAGTAGTAATATAGAAATAGCAATATAATGGCATGATACACGAGCAACAGACCAGCCGTACTCATTGCTCAAAACCCATCTCCCTCTCCCTCTTCCACTTATCATAACACTCCAACGTGACGCTCGCCAGGAAGCACGGTATACACTGCTCCATCTCCACCCAGTTCCGCATCAACTGCGGCAGTTCCTGTGGCCCACCCTCGCCCTGTGCAATGAGCTGCATCCTTGCGCCTCCCCCATCTTGTTGCGCGTTGGCACGAGATGTAGGTTGGAAAACGAACGAGGCGTTCAAGTCGTACTGCGATGTAACGCGCACTTGACCATTGGGGTAGAAGGCGAGTTTGACGCCCATGATGGAGGCGATGGCGTCGCGGAATTCGGCCGATTTGGCGGTGAAGACTTGTTGCAGACGTAAAAGACGCTTCTCCTTCTGCTTGAGTGCGTCCTCCATGTCGGCTTTGTCCTTCATAGCCACCTCCAAGCTTTGCCGCGGCACGAGATCGGCGGGAGGCTCGGCCGAAGATGAGCGCACACCTTGCTCTTCAAGCTCGTGCAGTCGACGTAGTAAAGCCTCGTTCTCGCCTTTCAAGCGGTCCATGACTTCCTGGCGTAGGTCGGACCATTGTTGCGCGGGGTTATCCCTGAGCGATAGTACACGGACGCCGGGAGGGACGTGTCGGCCACCGCCGATCTCGCCGCGAAGCTCGAAGAGCTCTTGCTCAAGCTTGTCAATGGACTCAAGATGCTTCTCGTTCGCTTCTTGGCTCTCCTTGAGCTCTGCGACGATGGTCAGACATGGTCAGGCGATGTAAAGCACAACAACTTGCCTGTTCGCGCATCAAGTACGGCTTGCTGCTCCTTCATCAGTTGCTCGTGCAATGCTTTGACGCTCGGTTGAGACGGCCCGGCTGCCGCCGCGCGCCTATCCTCGGCTTCTAGCTCGGCTACGCGTTGCTTATAGCTTTGTACGAGCTCTTCGAGGTCGGCAATGCGCTGCGACTGGGCCTCGTCCATCTCGACGTCTTGCACAGTAGCTTCCGCCGTGAAGCTAGCCTATGAGTTGTCAGACATAGAATACGCGGAGAAAGACGAGCATGACCTACGTTGTACTTCTGAAGGAAGTCCACCTCCCGTTCGGCGAGCAGCTTCGACTGCGAGAGTTGCGCGATGGTCTCGGCGTACCTCCGCTCACGCTCCTGGTACTCCTCAATTAGAGCCTGCATCTTAAGCTCGTCTGAGTTGCGTGTGGCGAGTTCGGCATCGCGTTGACGGAGTAATGCCACGTTCGCGCCATGTTCCTCCAACAATCGCGCGTACTTGAGACGAAGGTCTGCCAGACTCTGCGATACAGAGACGGGCGTCTGCCCGGGCGAGTCAAGTTGGGTCGCTCTGCCGTGCCACTCCTTTCTCTCCCTGCGTGCAGCGTCCAATTCTCCTTCGAGCAGTACGACCCTTTCCCTCAGCTCGTCCATCGCCCGCAACTTCGTCTCCAACCCCCTCTTTTCCTCCTTGAGCACCTCCACATTGGCCTTGCGCTCCCTGAGTGTTGCCAATTCCGACGCCATACGAGCGTTCTGAGCCTCGACTGCGCGATTATGTTCCGCGAGTTCTGAGAGCTCCAAGCGAAGTACTCCCCAGTTCATTGTCTCGCTCTCGTCGCGACTCCTGTCCGCGTGTGCCACACTGAGATCGTCCATCTGCATCTGCAGCTCGTCCACAGCTGCACTGCGCTCGTCCGCGAGAGCTCGTACATCACGCAGCTCCTGTTCAAGATGTTGCACCTGACGTGCGAGTGTACCGAGTTGGGCGCGTTGAGCGGTGATCGTCTGTTGGGTTGACGCTGCCAGTTTCTGGTGTTCGTCCTCCAGCAATTCGTGCTCGTCCCTCAGTGCGTTGAGCGTCGACCGCAACTTGCGGATTTCCCGGTCCGCCTGCGCCTTCTCCTCGGCCGCCTTCGCCCGCTCTTCCTCCATCGTCTGCTCAATCTCCGACTCTCTCCCGGCTAAAAGACGTCGGTCTGCCTCTAGCTTCTCCACCTCGCTCTCCTTCGCGCGTAACTTCTTCTCCGCCTCTTGTTTCGCGAGTTGTGCCGTCAATAATTGACGCTCAAGAGCCGAAGTTGCCATGTGGGAGGTATACGCCTGTGCGCGTTGTTGACGCTTGGCCGTAGACATTTGAGGATCTGTGCAATAGGATGGATGTTGAGTATATACTTATGCACGTAGTAGTCCTGACGAAGACAGGCGGACTGACTGGTAGTGGACGAAGACGTACCTCGTTCGAGCTCGGCCGCCAGAGAGTCGCGTTTAGTGGCCGTACCGGAGCGCGCCAGAGAAGATATAGGCCGTTTCGTGATGGGAGTCTTGAACTTGGGGTCCGACATGGTAGTGACGGTTGGGGCTCGAGTACAGTCAAAGAACAAAGCAAGTGAAAGCGTCACGTCGGTGGTCGAATAGTTGATACAGTGGCGCTCAGGCGCCGACAGCGGTGGTGGTCGAGAACAAAGCAAGTTGGCCCGGTGAACCTCACGCGCCGCGCGCGTTGATCGACTTGATGGCGTTCGACGCGCCGCGGCCAGGTCATCAGAAGGTTGGCTGAGGACCACCACCACCCTCACCAACGTGCACTCCCGTCTTAATCGATTACGGTGAGGCGAACTCATTATCAAACAAAGCAACATCGTACGAATATATTGCAGGCATGGTGCAGCCGGATGTGACCACTCTTGGAACTCAAGACCTTCCCGTCGAGATCTTCAATCGCATCGTCTCCCTCTTACGAGACATCAAATCACCTGGTGTCGATCACCGTGATAGTCTAGGCTGGTTGAATGTCACGCATGTTTCTCGCATCTGGCGAGCCACTACATTAGCCAATCCCTCGCTGTGGACCCGGATCCCAATGGGCATAGGCATGAACTGGTCGCGCCTGTTCTTCGAACGCAGCCATCCACTATCAGTCGATGTTGACGTTGTCCAAGTCACATCCGCAAACCCTTGGGAGGATCTCCTGTCTCTCAACTTCCACCGCATCCGAAGCTATAAGCTGATATCCAACATTCAGAACGAGTCAGAAGATCCAACCTACGGCCTTCTTCAACAACCTTCTGAGGCTCTCGAAACGCTCGCGCTTTCTGGATTCTGGAGGGCGCTCGAATCTCCGCGCCTAGAATCCCATCAATATCCTCGTCTCCGCACACTACACGCGTCTCTCTTCGCAATGCCTTTGGATACCTTTCCGTGGCGTGGAATAGGCAATCCCGGCCTCACAGAGCTGAAGATTAGTCTTGGCCCTGCCATAGGAGATAGCGATCCCCTCGACGAAATCGTTCAGACTTTGGCGCGACTTCCCTCCCTCATCACACTTGCGTTGACGGTCTATCCTGATCACGATCGTATCGAGGGAGGTTCGCAAGTCGATCACGGTGTCAAACACACAGCCCACCTTGCGAAACTCGCTGATCTTAGTTTGAAAACCGAAGGGAACTTCTTTCTCCATTTCCTAGACCGCGTATCGTTTTCAACCTCTGTCGAGACATCACTCCTCGTGCACAAGGCTGCCAGAGCCATCGATCCATCATTGATATCATCCATTCTGATTCCCTGGATCTCCCAGCGGACTGGAGCGACGCCGACAAGACATTTGAGTTTCACAGAAACGCGAAATCGCTATGTCCAGATGACCGCGACAGCTTCACTAGGAGCTGGGAGCAGGGCATTCCTGCTCTTACCTATCAAGTCATCAATCGCAGATGCCTTCGACGAGGTTTTACAAAGCCTTGGGCCCAGCGGGATCAAGGCCATTGACATTGAGCCTATCCTCGAGCTTACTAGGGGCGATACACTCACTCGTCTGGCGTCGGCGTGTCACGAGTGTACCTCCATCAGGCTATTACCGATTGGTGATGAGTCATACTACACGCGTGCTGGAGAGGTGATTGATACAGTGCGCCAGCTCCTGACCGCTGTCACCCCCATCGAGCGACCCCCTTTCCCCAACCTCGTCTCCTTGGATCTGACGGCCATCGACAAGACTCTCATCTCCGCACTGTATGCGAATTATCTTCCGACCAATTCATACCCAGCGATGCCTCCAACACTCGCGCAAGGCCTCCTTGACGTCGTGGAAGCGAGAGGAGATGGTGGCGGCGTTATGCCGCAAATATATCTGCCATGGTGGACGGCTCCATTTCCCGCGCAATTTGATCAAGTGATGAACGCCCTCCGCTCTATGCCCGGTTTGCGGTTTGTGCCAGAGGGCTCAAAGGCGTAACATTTCTACCAGGAGGACTCGCCGTAGAGCTCCCAGAGATGTCGGACGCGGGATGAATGTTCAGCGTGTACTGGAAGGAGTTGCGATGGTCGGTGGAGATTGCAAATAGTACTGCTACCTGATGTGAAATGTGTAAAAGCCGCATGTATACCTATATACCCTTATGCAGCGTTACCATTGTCGAGCAAGTTTGAGAGAACTTCACATTGATGAAGCTACTGATAATACAACCAACGCATAGCTCTATCAGTCGTGCACAGCTCCATTTCGCGTAATAGCCCGAAGCCGAGATCGGCCCGACTGCCGGCGCCGCGCATCTGGCATCGGCATGCGCATCGAGTCAGCGTTTGCCGCTCTGCCTCTTCTACCACCACCACTACACCTTCACGCCCACCTTTTGGGCCCGACGCGATAGCCTGCACTCCTAGTTGCATCACCGGTTTAGTGTGTTCCCGCCAACATCTCACACTGAGCGGCCTATCCTATCACACTTCGGGGGCTCTCTTGACATGCCTGCGGCAAGTCCCTGATTCCTGACCATATCGTAGGCAATGACATTAACCAGCTTGCAGGTTGACTCTCGGTCGAATATCACTACATTCAGAATTCAGGATCTTCCTATAGACGTCCTGAATCACGTTCTGCTCTGTCTTCGTGACGCATACCCGCCATGGGGAGCCGCACGCACATTAGGTTGGGTTAACGTCACGTTCGTCTCTCATGGGTGGAGAGATCTCGCGCTCTCCAATCGCTCGCTATGGACCATCATTCCCCTGGACATAGGCAGGACCTGGATCCGCGCCTTTCTCGAACGCAGTCACCCATCACCTATAGATATCGATCTTGAGTACAAATCAAGTCCATTCTTGTCCGAATTGATAGAGCACAACTATAGTCGGTCGATTACCACTCGTCGGTTCACCCAACTCAAGATCCTACCTATGTTTCCACTCACCGGCCTTCGCGAGTGCTTGAAAGGCTGGTCCTTAACAAGAGATGGCGATCATTTGACGGACAGTGGCTCGGGGTCCATCGGCATCCTTGTCTTCATACCCTCCACCTTGCGCTCTACTCTCTCCCCATGGAAAGCTTCCCGTGGCACGACATAGATGGGTACAGTCTCAGGGACCTCATGCTTCACCTGAAACATCCGGCGCATGATGATTTCTGCCTCTACGAAATAACATCCACTCTGAGGCGACTCAATACCTTGAAGACCTTCGAGCTGAGGACGAGGGGGCATGACGGAAGCTTGTCCTCGCGAATAGTCAAAGATTCGGCGCAAAGCATTCACTTGCCGAATATCGAACGTATAACATTGGAAGCCAATAGCGAGATGGTCGTTCGCTTCCTGGACCTCGTCTCCTTCCCGACGTCGGTTGAGACGACCCTGATTCCTCTCGGTGTCGTAGAGAGGGCGTCTATACTCTCCACACTGCTCCCGTGGATATCTAAACAGTCGGCTTCAGCGCCAGTAAAGAGACTGTCATTCACTAGCAGTCATCATGGTGACACTACCCAGCTCAATGTCGCCCGCTCGCTACACACCGGGCATGGGGAGTACCTCCACTTGCATATCAACTCTTTGATGCAAGATGCGACCCGGGAGATCTTGCACGGTCTCGAGCCCGGAACAGTCCAGGTCATCGACGTCGCCACCGTGACGCCACTCTCTCTAAGAGCCGATCAACTCCTTGTACAGACATCGCTGATGTGTCGAAACGTCACGCGCATAGACACACTACCCGTAAATGCTTCCAACGACGCCGCTGGAGCACTGGCGGCCATTCTTCGACGCCTTCTCCTCCCTCCGACGACTACGACTTCATCCCCGTTTCCTGTCCTTGTGACATTAAACCTTCTGTCCTTAGGACAAGGCGTGCTGTCCTCTCGCTGCACGCACAGTGAGGACGCACAACCATATCGCATCATGCCACCTACACTCGCACAGGCCATCGTCGACATTCTTATAGCCAGGCAAGAAGTAGGCGGTACTATGCCTCGGGTATACGTCCAGGAATGGACATCGCCGATGTCCCGGTTCGAGCAGAGTGTGCTAGAAGTAGTGCGCACCATACCTGGTGCATTGTTCTTGCCGGCAGGAACCTGGGGGCTACCGGAGAACATATGAAGTGGTGGCAAAATATCAAATTCGTTGGTCGGGTTCGATCTGCCATGAACAGGATGGTGTATACGGCACCCGCGGCTCTCAAGCAGGCTGATATTATTAGATGATAGGTGTAAAATCTTGTACTCTATTAGTTCCTTACGCGCTTCCGGGGCAATACGATGACTAGTTACTTCAACTCGGCCCGAACTCGTGTTGACACTTGAGCGCGAGGGCCCGAGCTTTACGTTCGTTGACAACAAGGAAGGAAGGAAGGAAGGAAGGAAGAAGACTGACCAGCGACGAGCGTGCGAGCGGGCCGGTGACCCGGTCCGGATGCGAGACGTGTTCTGGCATGTTGTCCGGTTGCTGCGACCTTGCTCGTAACCACCACCATACCGTCACAGATACCGATTGTACCATCACGCGGGGCATGGATTCTACTACTACGTCTGGTACATCAATACATTTGTCCGATCTCAGCCTCTCAAAGGGAACAATGGATACTTATCCGTAGGATCTGCAGACGGTGTAGATTATCCCAGACCCAGATTCACTGACGGGAACAGTGATCGCAGGCGTCCTCACCCAACCAGAGCTCGGCATCACCCTCCCACGACCGCCTGAGCCGGCTGGCAGGAAGCACTCTGAGATCTAGAATAATCTACACCAGCTGGGATTCCTACGGATAGGTATCCAATCATCCATTCGCGCTCTCTTGACGTGCCTGCAGTGAGTCGCTGATGCGTAACTATATCATGAGGATGACCTTGACCAACTTCTAGATTACCGCGAGATTGGCACCCATCCGACTCAATATCAACGAGTTACCTATAGAAATCTTCACCTATATCCTATACTCTCTCCGAGACATCGATCCACCGTTGGCAGGCGAACGCAGGCTAGGTTGGGTGAACGTTACGTTCGTCTGCTCCGCTTGGAGAAAGCTAGCGCTATCATACCGCTTGCTGTGGACGCACCTTCCCTTCGGTATGGGCGGTTCTTGGTATCGCGTATTTCTGGAACGCAGTCATCCCCAGCCGGTCGATGCCGATCTTGAATCAGGGTATGACCTCAATTACCTGGACATCGTATCTCGAAGCTTCACTCGAGTTCGCAGCCTGTCTGTGTCGGTCTCGTATGGTCTCGTCTACTTCGGAGTGACGGATCCGGTCCACGCACTCATCATGCGACCTTCCGAAACCCTAGAAACTCTCGTCCTCCACAGATATTGGAAAAAGTGTCACTTCCCACGAGCCCTATCCCACCTATACCCATCCCTTCGTACCCTCCACCTCATCTTCGAGCTGATGCAAGCGGAGGAGTTCCCCTGGGTTAACGTGGGGAATACTCCCGGTCTTGTAGACCTCAAGATCCACTTGAAACAACACGAACACGACGACCAATGTCTTGCGGACATCATGTCAATCTTGACAAGAGGAACTGCGCTCAAATCGTTCGATCTGCGGTTATCTCCCGGCATTCATCAACGCGCACCGTCGCGCACCGTCCACGCCTCTCTGAGTCAGGCGGGCCTGCCGCGACTCAACAACTTAGCGTTGTGCCTGGAGGGAGACGTGCTCGTGCATATCCTGAACAGCATCACCCTCCCGGATTCGACGGAAATTGTATTGGATCCAACCGGCGACATGGAAGAAACGTCTTTGACCCGCATCTTCCTCCCCTGGATCGCATCACGATGGAAGGCGGCGCCTCCCAGCAGTCTGGCGTTTTCTACCAATGGTCGTCCCAATAGATCGACTCAGATCATTGTAGAACGCGATTCACTGTTACCCAAATGCGCAGTGTCTATGCGAATAGCTGTCGAGGGGACCACCTGGGACCACTTCTCGGACATCCTATGCAGACTTCATCCTGACTCAATACGGAGCCTCGTAATCAAGCCCCCAGCCGGGCTCTCACCGGAAGAATCCCAACAACTGTCGCAAATATCCACGATCTGCAGCAACATCACCCACATCGAGATCACGTCTTCCGATGCTAGTGCAGGAGTCCTAGAGAGCACTCTGAAACGGATATTGCTCCCAGCTACCAATACGACGGCACCCCATCCATTCCCTAGCCTCACGGCGCTAGACCTCACCTGCTTAGACAAGGGTTCCCTGTCGAGGCGATGCACCCACGATGATGACCCCAAACCATACCGCGTCATGCCCCCGACGCTCGCACAGTCCATTGTAGGCATTATGAAAGAGAGGCGAGGTATCGATGGCGATACGGCGCGCATATTCCTGAGGGAATGGACGGGTGAGATGACCCAGTTCATAGAGAGCGTGCGGGACGTCGCGCGCACCATACCCGGCGCGATCTTTCTACCAGAGGGAACCAGTGTACCACAGGAGTAGTGTAGGAGAAACACTACGAGGAGGAGAGAAGAGGAGCCCGATGGACTGTATGTAAACCACAGAGCATTGGCGTCTTTCATGTCCAGAACTATGCCTGCGTTTGTATACCTACTGTTCCCGAACGAGGCATCTAAAGCAAGGTCTCTGCTTTGTATTCTCCAATTCCTCAGTAGGGCTCACACATAGGATGAGATTGAAAGAGACTTTTGATTGGTGATGCTACAGTATCGAAATGTGCGGAAAGCGGCGTATGTACAACAATGAAGCAGTTCTGTATGCAACAATCCCCGAGAAGACAAGCAACGGATATGACAAGACAGCAAACAACAGACGAAGCACGAGCGACGAAACGAAGAAGGCGAGACGCTTAGTCGATCTCCTCCATCGCAGACGCACCGGCGCCCTCGAGCGGCGGCGGCAAGTCGTCGTCCTCCTCAGCGGCCGCTGCGGGCTCCTCGTCCTCGTCGACGTCGAGACCGAGCGAGATCATGCGGTAGATGCGCTTGGCGAACGACGTGGGCTCCTCGAGCGTGAAGCCAGAGGTGAGCAGGGCAGTCTCGTACAGCAAGTACGTGAGATCGCGGACGGACTTGTCAGCCTTGTCCTCGCCGACCTTCTTGCGGAGCTCCTTGATGATCGGGTGCGTCGGGTTGAGCTCGAGCGTCTTCTTCGACGCCATGTACGACGACATCGAAGAGTCGCGGAGCGCCTGCGCCTTCATGATGCGCTCCATGTTGGACGACCAACCGAACTGGCCGGTGACGAGCACGCAGGGAGAGTCGGCGATACGGTTCGAGACGACGACCTTCTCAACCTTCTCGCCGAGCGCCTCCTTGATGATCTTGCAGAGATCCTCGAACGACTTGGCCTCCTCCTCGCGCGCCTTCTTCTCCTCCTCGGTCTCCTCGAGCTCAAGACCCTCCTTGGACACAGACGCGAGCGTTTTGCCCTCGAACTCCTTGAGCTGAGTGACGGCGTACTCGTCGATGGGGTCGACGAGGAGGAGGACCTCGAAGCCCTTCTTCTTGAGGACCTCAAGGAAGGGAGAGTCGCGGACGGCGGCAAGCGACTCGCCGGTGAGGTAGTAGATGTTCTTCTGGACCTCGGGCATGCGCGTGATGTAGTCTGTGAAGATGACGTCAGACACCGCCCGTCGCGATCAAAACACAAAGAAAACGTACCCTTGAGCGAAGTGAGCTCATCGCCGGACTTGGTCGAGTGGAAGCGGAGGAACTCGGCGAGCTTGGAGCGGTTCTGCGCGTCCTCGTGGATACCGAGCTTGATGTTCTTGCCGAACGCCTCCCAGAACTTCTGGAAGTTGTCCTTGTCCTCGGCGATCTCGGAGAAGAGGTCCATGCACTTCTTGACGACGTGCTTGCGGATGACCTTGAGGATCTTGTTCTGCTGGAGCGTCTCGCGGGAGATGTTCAGCGGCAGGTCCTCGGAGTCGACGATGCCCTTGACGAAGTTGAGGTACTCGGGAATGATCTCCTCGCAGTCGTCCATGATGAAGACGCGGCGGACGTAGAGCTTGATGTTGTTACGCTTCTTCTTCTGCTCGAAGAGGTCGAAGGGCGCGCTTAAAGATCATGAGCGACGCGTTCGCATGAGCACTAACGATTAGAACTTACCGCTTCGGGACGTAAAGGATAGCCTTGAACTCGAGCTGACCCTCAACGGAGAAGTGCTTGACGGCGAGATGGTCCTCCCAGTCGTTGGTGAGCGACTTGTAGAAGGCGCCGTACTCCTCCTGGCTGATGTCGGAGGGGTTGCGCGTCCAGATGGGCTTGGTCTTGTTGAGCTCCTCGTTGGACTTCTCGGTGACCTTCTCCTTCTTCGTCTTCTTCTTCTTGTCCTCGTCCTCGTCGACCTCCTCAATCTTGGCATCCTCCTTCTCCTCGGCCTCCTCCTCGTCCTCAACCTCCTACGCGAGAAGTCAGCAATCCAAGTTCACGAGCGTACAACAGATGGGATGAGCGCACCTTCTCGACCTCCTTGGTCACGACGAGCTGGATAGGGTAGGAGATGAACTCAGAGTGCTTCTTGACGATATCCTTGATGCGCTTCTCCTCGAGGTACTCGAGCTGGTCCTCCTTGAGGTAGAGACGAACCTCGGTACCGCGGCCGATGGGCGGGTTGACGGTGTCGGGCGTGATGGTGAAGGTACCGCCGGCGGCAGACTCCCAGATGTACTGCTCGTCGTCGTTGTGCTTCGAGATAACCTGAACGCGCTCGGCGACGAGGTATGCAGAGTAGAAACCGACACCGAACTGGCCGATCATAGAGATGTCGGCACCAGAGCTGAGCGCCTCCATGAAGCCCTATACAAAGATCAAGCGTGAGTAAGAAATGCCCAATTAGGAATAAGCAGACAAAGGCCGCGGTGGCGCACGTACCTTTGTGCCGGACTTTGCGATCGTACCGAGGTTGTTGACCATGTCGGCCTTGGTCATGCCGATACCGGTGTCGCGGATGGAGAGCGTCTTCGCCTCCTTGTCGGGCGTGATGCGGATGTACAGCTCCTTCTCAGAGTCGAGCGCGGTGGGGTCAGTCAGAGACTGGTAGCGGATCTTGTCGAGCGCATCGGAGCCGTTGGAGATGATCTCGCGAAGGAAGATCTCCTTGTTCGAGTAGAAAGTGTCTGTTGAAACGATATGTTAGGATGTGCCACCGACAAAGACGCGTATGAACATACTGATGATAAGGTCGAGAAGCTGGGAGATCTCGGCCTGGAAGCCAAAGCTCTCAGATTCGGCGGACATCTTGTAGATCTAGTGTACGCGTTAGGTGGAGAGTGTAGAAAAGTGTGTGAGCGGATAAGTACTTTTAGAGGGTATAACTGGAGTAGATGGTGGGCGGAAGAGAGATCGAGCGCGTCTGTGCGCGAACGGAGGCGCGCCTTTTTCAAGTGTGGCGGAGGCGCACGCGGCGACGATTCAGCGACCTTCCAGCATATTCGACAACCGCGCCTCAGCCCATCTCCCTTTCCTCCTCTTTCCACCCGCTTTCTTTCCGATCCTTTTACACGGATTACCGTACTAGGATGCTGTTCTGATCCCTTCTGTTCGCGTCCTTTCGACGCGTCTGCGGTGCAAAAACTGTATTGCGATGCCGCACAGGCTGTCCTCCGCAGAAAATTCGTCCTTCTAGCACATTCTCGATGAACGCGATCACGGGACCGCGTCATTTTCCTCTTCGTTTTCCGACGCGCGCAGCGAGCGCCCACGGCGATCCACAGATGTATATGCGCTAGAGTACATGTTAGAACTACACAGTCAGATTATGTTCTCCTTAGATCAAATAGATATCCTTCCCAGACTCGGACTGCCTAACAAGATCGGACTCGCCGTCGGATCTGATACCAACCCCTCACTGCGTCGCCGCCCGCCCATCTGCGACCGCAAGATCTCGACCATAGACGTGAGCTCATCGACCTGCTCTTCCAGTTCAGAGTTCTTCTCGCGTAGACGTATGATGTCGGCACTGTAGCGAGACATCTCGACTTGCGCTTCGAGGTGCCTTCGCGGCTCCGAATCACGCCGCACGTTTTGATGTTGCATCCGGGTGAATGCAAGTTTGGCTTCAAGCGAGGATATTGTGCGTCGGTATGTCCTGCGCCATCATCAGTAAACGAATAGACTATAGCGTATACGCGGGCGTACTTTGCCTGCTCTTCCATTTGCGCGAACTGATATTGGTAGTTCTCGACGCGCAGAACCAGCTTTTGGTGCTTGCTGAGCACACCGCGCATGATCTCCTTCATCTCCTTATGCCTTTGCACGTCAGAGTCCCTATATCTGAATTAGTACACTTGACGTGAAGACGCGTGTTGAAACCATACCAAAGCTTCTGCGTCGCAGTGAGCTGCTCGATCTGCCGCTCATAGTCCCGCAGGCGATCAATCTTGTGCTGGGTTTCCTTGCGCGCCGTCTCGAGATGAAACACCTTGTTCTCCGCCTGCGCCAGAAGCTTGCCCTGCGCAGAGAAGTTCGCCTGTATCCCCGCGCATACATGAGCAAGAGAGCTGAGGAGCTGATCAACGGAGGGATACGTACGCGAAGATCCTTCTCGGCCTGCCGTAACGCGGCCGTCTCCATTTTCCACGCCTTCTTCCCCTCACGCAACGTGTGCAGCTTAGTCTGCAGACCGTTGTTCCAATCTGCGTACTTGCTCTTCGTGCGCTCGCTCTGCTCTTTCTCGTCCTTAAGCAGCCTCTCGAGTCGTGTTGCGCGCGCCTTGTACTCGCGTAGTTTGTTGTGCTGCGCGCAGCAATCAGTCAGCGCCCCACAACACTGATCAGAACAAATGATCTCACCAAGCCCTGCCGCTCAGCCTCGGCATGTCGACTGATAATGCGATGTTCATACAACGTCGTGATCTGCTTGACGTTCTCGCGCGACAGCCAACTCTCGAAGTTCAACTCATTGCGCAACAGCAGGATCTCACGTTGCAACGACGAAATAGCATGCGCGAGATGCCCTGGCACATCCTCCCGCGTTCGCTCTCGTTCTGGTGAAACGGCGCGGGACTGGGAGTATACTGACGCGCGCGCCGAACCAGGTGATGTTGCCGTCGCCTCCGTCTGGAACATTTGGTACGGCCATACGGGTGTTGCATCCACGAGTTCGATGTCGTAGTCTGAGCGTAAAGCGATAGTAGTATCGAGCATGTTCTGCAGAGAGAGCTTGTACTTGTGATGTGGAGGGTCGGCGACGCCGGCTGCAAGCTCTTCGATGTCCGTGGCCACGGGCTCAGAAGCGGGTGGAGGCGGAGCGAGAGGTGTGTTACGTAGGCCCAGTGTTTGGCATTCGGCAACGATGCGCGCTACGTCGTAGCCTTCGAAGAAGGGTGCCTCGTCCATCTCGACTGCCGCATTGCGCCAGATGATCTGCGGGTGCGTGACATGTTGCAGAAGAAGTACCTAGACGCCCATGAACGATGAGCTCAAGTAGTACTTCAAGCCCCATATACAGTACATACCTCGCACTTGGTCTTGATCTGATCGTGATCGAGGGCCTCTTCCCATTCCACAGCGTACGGACTCTCAATACCACGGTCGACGAGATAGTTTGCAGGTTGCCGCAAGAACTGGAGTAGATTGCATGGAAACAGATAGTACAGGATGGCGAAGTAGCGATGTGGTGGAGGTGCAGAAGATGGTGCAGTGAAAGATAGCTCGAGTCGGTTCCAATCAAGATCGGGGTTCGTGTCGAGCGCGCGGCTCCCCTCGACCGGGCCGGGAATCGTCCCATCAGTCTCATCGCCGTCTTGAACTTCGACTTCGGCTGTGTGGTCACCGGTGCGCTCTTTCCAGCATACGATGCGCGAGAGGATAGCGAATAGGCGAGGGAGATTTGACTTGAGCGTAACACAAGAGTGAACGGCGAACAGAGGGAGGAGTTTCGCCAATAGTGTGAGCGAGAAGGTGCATACAGTCGTAGAGTTGTCGACGAGGAGTGAAGTTAGGATGCTAGAGATCAGAGCATGTTCCGCCAGGGTATTGATATGTTCTTCGACGGCTTTTTCGTTAGTGAATCGGTTGAGGAAGCCGAGTATTTGAAGTCTGTGCTCGGGAACTTGGAAGCAGTCGTTAATATGCGTGAATAGTGCCTGGTATACCAGTGTCAGACTCTGGAATAGTATTCAAAACAAAGTCGCATACCTCTGGTTGGCGCAAACCATAGCGCACTAGCACATCCTCCAAGTTTGCCTTCCAAGTGTGTCGGCGATGTCGGTCCTCCTCCGGTAACTCCGCCCATTCGATGATATCGTCTCCCGAGCCCTCGTTGAACGCATCGAGCAGGTACAAGTCCAGTACGCGTCTCTGAAAGTTCGTCTGCCTGTCATCGTCACATGGCCGTTCGAGTGCAATGAGCGTGAGGTCCTTGGCGTGCGCGAGCGCAACGCGCGATAGCCTCGGCTCTCGCAGCGCCGGCCGAAGCACGAGATCCCACCAAGCCTCGATGATCGCCGTAGCCGGCAGCGCAGGCGCCAAATGTCCCAGCACACCGAGCACCAAGCCAGCGTGCACATAAGAGTCGTGATTCACGGCGTCGCGGTGGATCGCCTGCAGCTCGTCCTCGAACGCGGACAGGAGCTGCTCGGGCTCTTCCGCCGTCGACCATCGGTGCACAAAGTTGTCGACTAACGCGTATAGTTCGTCTTCAGTGCATGATTGGGGAGAGTTCTCGAGGATGAGTCGCAGTTGGCGCGCGACCTCGGATGGCATGGGCGCGAGCACTCGTCGCGGAGGGTGGTGAGCTCATGTTGCATGCTTCACTCCGAGCGAGTGAGCAGGAAAAGGTTCCGGCCTTCGGTGACGCGATCACATGGGTTGGGGTGTACGCGAAATCGCGACATAGCTCTTACGTTCATGCCCCCTGCTTGGACTCTAGTCCCAGCATATTTGGCCAGAACAGGGGAGATCTGAGCATGTATATGCCTTGGAACGTTTGGAGTAGGAAGGGAGTACGTCGACTGCAACGTAGAGGCCATACATAGGAGCACGCGGTTGCACCCAGATGAGTAACATTGACAATTGGGTACTCCTGACATCTATCTGATTGCGCCCACTGTAACAGCATGCTAGACAACGTACATACAGAGCGGTAGACGATGGGTAGCAGCAGAGCCCTACTACTTAGAGACAATAGGATTGATAAAGGGCATATGTAGGTCAAGAGCCTCTATAAGCTGTGCACGATGTAGACGAGGCTCATGCAGGTGATCATCTGGTATTGAGCACATTCACCTCCACCACCGGCTGGCAGGCATGTGATATTTCCGCGGAGGGTTGAGGAGGAGAGGGGGATATCTTCCTTCTTTTGGAGCTGGAAACAGAGGCGCCGTGGGTACTCTCGTGCCCTAAAACGGGGGAGCGCAAAAGCGGTAGCGATGCCAATGTGGAGATGTCACTGTCGTCACTGTCGCTGTCGTCGTCCAGGATGCGTTTGCGCCGCTTGGGATCGTTGAGATCGACGACATATCCGTCTCTCTCTTTTTGCGGACCATGGACCGTCTCCAACATCTCGTCATCGGGCCGAAGTGTCGATAGCAAAGATGCGACCTTGGCTGCCAATACATCCTCATCCGGACACACATCGCATTTGAGGCTGTAGAGAACCCGGCGCGGACGAACGATCGGAGGGTCCTCCAACGCCGGTAGCCCAAGGTCTCGACGCTGTCGTGCGGCAGATAGATCGCTGAACCCATCTGAGCTGAGCGCATACGGGCGTGCATAGATGCGCGTGGATTTAGGATCAAAGCGTGGATGCGCATACACGGGACGTGTGTATTGCGCGGACCAGTAGATGATAGACGGAGGAATCGTCAAGGGTCGGCTCTGATCTAGCGTTTGGTTCCCTGTCCAAACTAAATCTGGATCATTCCTATCAAGCTTATCAGTGCAGGCGAGGACTGACAAGGGCGCATCATCTACCAGTCGGGCCAACCAGAGCGGTGATATGCTTCGACCGAGTCATCCAAGAAGATACCCCAGGTGAGAGGTGAGGGCAACTCGAACTTGAACGTCTGATACTTCTCTCGCCATAAGTCATCATACGCGACGTTGTCCGTATTCGGGCGAAGCAGCTCGCGGAAGTCCTCGGGAAGGACGACCGAGGGTCCCTGGCGCGTTCGGATATCATTCCAATGATCCCAGGTCCATTGCAGATTATCTGCCGTGTTGGGACGCGCTATCAACGGGGGTTCAGGCAGACCATCGATGCTGTCGTTACGTTACTGACATGTTCAAGTGGGTAGAGGGGTTGCTCACATCGATCGTTGGGCCAGTAAAACCGCTTCTTTCTCGCGCCTGAGGTTCTCGAGCTCATCTTCAAGACGCTGACACGAGAGTTCCAACTCATTAAGACGGATCCAAACACTCTGATCGGCAGATGATAGCGGTGGTGAGCGGTGTGTGTATTGATGATAGGTGTACGCAAAGTTCGCGCCGGGTCGGTAGCGGGGTGGATGCTCGTCGCTGGCTACTGAGCCTGACGAACTGCACAAAGAGAAGAAGACAGTATCGCCATCGTGCAAGACGTGTGAAGCACCAGGGGCAATACGTCGTCGATTCACCTGAGATTGTGTCATTGAACTGCCATGACACACAGATGGGTGACGTACCCAGACCCCATTTGTAGATAACCTGTCTACAACGCGCACTTCGTCACGCCCATCCCATTGGAGTTCACATACCACCCAATCTAGTCTATGTTGAGCAGTGACTCCGTCCGAAGGTCCAGATTGGTGTACATACCAAAAGCTTGAGAGGACAAAACAATGTCACTTTCTGGACTGCGTCCGACACTGTAAGACCTCTTCGGCTTGTGCAGGTCGATGCGCGGCACGTTGGGAGATACGTCGATGGGTTGAAGACGAGCATATAGCAGAGGATGTGCGCCTTCAGCGGTTAGATTTGTCGACGCCGCACTCATTCTATCGCTGCGGGGTTTTGAGAGAGATCAATTTGGGGGGTGCGTGCAATGGCCGTCGCAGCGTTGCGGAGTAGTAGTAGTGGTCAAACGTGCGCGTGAGACCTTCTAGGACGACTTGAAACTTGACAATAGTACAGCACAATAAGCGATCGCCACCCTTTATTCTCCTTCCGTCCCTCCATGTAGACCATGCCCATACGAAACAGGGTTGTGCAGATCGTAGTCCGACCTTTTGTGCTCAAAAGAGGAACAAGCAAAGGTCGAGGACAAGTTGATGGTTTGAGAACAAGTTCTGCTGACGCGCGCGAGCACCGCACCGGCGCCCCCGAAGTGTTGTCGCAAAATCCCCATTCCGGTGATCACCGGCGTCGACCCACCGACGACTGGATCAGTGCTGATCAGCAACGACCACCCGAGCGCGGGCGGGTGAGCAGCGTTGATCAGCACTGACACGCACTGGTCACAATCAACTAGAAATATTGTATATAATATATATTCCCTTCGCAGGACGGCAAATCTGGCCTCGATGCTCATGAATGACAAGCGCTACAGTCGCCACACAACAGTCACGATTTGTTTTGCAGCTATATGACTTCTTACGGTAACATAACTGTTAGCCAGTCGCATAATATACATGTGTAGAGTACAAGTAGTAGTCCGCTGGCATGCTAGGGGGCGGCCCCGAGGGACCGTACTGTAACTGCACCAATGTCAGCAAGCGCCGCCCGCCAAGCGACCCGATTCTCCCTTCTTCGCTAGGTAGGATATAGTCATACCCAACCTTTGGTTGTGATGCTCAGGCGAGACGTGCAATATAATAAAGGGGAGGACGGGGCGGGGATCCGCTGTCGACGCGGCGAGAGCGAGCCAGATGGCCGTGCGAAGCAAGTTGGTGCGCGCTCCACACGGTGAATAAGACGACGCGCGCGCTCGCTTCAACCACCAAGTCGCCCTCGCCTTCCACCATCATGGCACCCCGGCCGTAACATCCTCCCCTGGATGCTGCCTCTCGCCTCTCGCCACTCCTCGTGCCAACCACAACATTGGACCGTCCTTCCACACTGACCACCTCTGCGCGTGCCGCCGCTGGGTGCTCGCATCACTATCCACTCGCTCCCTTCGCAGCTCGCCCATCGCGCCTCACGGGCTGAGCGCTCGTCTCAGCCCGTGTACGGCGGCACTGATGCTACCAGTACACGATCGCTATGTCTGCAAAGTCGAGCTGGGGTGGGAGGTCTTGTAGCGCAGTGTGATCTGTCCGCTCGGTATCGCACATATTTTTTGTAGATACGCCGTCGCAC